GAGACTTCCAGAGGTCCTGAGGGTATAGCAATAGGACGAGTAGCAAGGTCTAGCAAGCCAGATGAAAGCGTCAGGGGGTCTGGAGAGTATAGAGGCAGGGCATATGATTAGGTCTGGGGGTGCTCCATCTAACTGAAAAGATTAGAGCTGGTAATCCCTTCATCATTCAAGCAATGTGAGCAGGATTCCTGCGTGACTGAGTGAGGTGGGGTCTGGGCTACCCAAGGATTTGGGGAGAGAGTGAAAGGAAGGGAAGGGGATAGGCCACCCTTAGTGGTGGGTGATGTAGGTCAGTAAGGTCTAAGGCCTAATGATGAATCCTTGCTTCCATTAAGGTCAGCCCTCTGGATTGACTTAATAACCTAACTCCTTTCATGAGTACACTGTATTCACTGAAGAAGCATTTAACAAGGAATTTATATGAGTACATGCTTCCACCGCTGTCCTGTAATCACGATGTATTTACAAGCCTTGCTTCCAAAGACTTCAAAGTACTGTTAATACCTAGCATCTCATTTGTCTTTATGGTAGCTTTGTCAATGGAAGAAAGAGTTGACCTTAATGTTCTTATTTCACAGATGGAGTGAGTGAGGCGCGGGTTGTCTGGAGAGGGAAGTTACTAAAGAGCATCTAAGAAGAAAACTAAGAATCTATATACCAGGCTGTTGTGGGTCAGGCTATTGTGGGTGGGTAGGGGAGTGAGTGTGCCAATGGGACAATTGATTGTATGAATCCAAAAGTCTAACATGAAAACCACATTTTGGGCTTTGGGAATGTGAAGCTCATTCCTAGCATCTGTTGTGTTTTCTTGAATCAGAATTTATAGTTTGATTACTTTTGTTTGGGCTCTTATAATCCTTTTTTAATAGCTGGTAATTTTGATCTTTAACTCTTCTATTCTCCTCAACTTAAAACTAGCCTTTGAAGTTAATGATGAGTTGGGGCGCTCTGCCTTCCCAAAGTCTGCATAGGCTCCCACTGGGCTATGCTCTTTGGCTCCCTTGTGTCACTGATCATGGCCAAATTGCTCGTGGGGAACTTGGTCAGTCGGGGAGAACTCCTGGAAGTCTCTGCTTCCTAATTACTCAGGGGAAAATTTCCTGTAGTGCTTTGAAGATTGGGGCAGGACTCTTAAAGATTTGCTATCAGGGATGGTCCCTTCTACTCATAACCTCCCATGCCTGGCTCTGTGTATTTCTCTGGGAATCACCTGGAGTCCTGTAGTAGCCCTGGTTTGTGGAAGATGATTCTGTTCAAGCCATGGTCTTGTGGGGGAATAGTTGGTAGCCAAAGTAGTTATGTCTGTATCTTAGTAAAGAAAAAAATATTTTGAAAGACAAAATAGTCCTAAATGGCATTGGTCAAGTCAGGTAATCCTTAGGCCTCCCAAATGGATCTGGGTCACTCAAATTACGATTCTTCAGAATCTCTTAATGAACAGAAGGGTGCAATTGTTTTTCTTCCCTTGCAAAGACTAGTTACTTTTCTATTGTGGACATTACCTTTGTTTCTCTGAAACTCAACCTATAGATGTCACAATACTTCAGTGAGTCTATGATTTTATTAGTGTGGATATTCTTTCTATTTGTGCAGTCCATAGCCTCTCCATACCTTTTTATCCTGTGCAATTCTTGTCTGTCTATCTGTCTGTCTAGCTAGAAATCCCCCATAGATCATCTACCCTAATGCATCAAAGAACTTACTCTGATTTTTTTAACCTTTCCTGAATACATTTAGGGTATCCAGACCCCACCTACGTGGGGTCTTTAATGATGGTTTTTGCTCTACTTCTTACATTCAAGTTACTGTCGGTGACATGTTATAGCCTGTTGGCATCCACCATGTCTAGCTTTTTGTGACACTACTCTTTCCTAGATATTCTCCCAGTTTTCTGACCTTCCTTACTCTCTTATGCTGGATCTTCATCCACATTAGGCTTGTTAGCACGTATCTGTCCTGGGCTCTTTCTCTTCTCCATCTATACTATTTCATTTGGTGATCTCATCTGCTCCCATGGATTCAATTATCATCCCTATGCCAGTGATTCTCAAATCTGTTTATACAACTTTCATCTCTCTGCTGACTTCCAGGCTCACATCTCCATTTGCCTATTGGATATGTTGAACCAGATGACCTTCCTGAATCTGAAACTCAGCACGTTCAAAACTGACCTTGTTATCTTTTCTTTTAAGCCACCCTTCCTCCCAAACTTCCTTATTACTATGGCAGGCACTACCACCCTCTGGGTCACCCAGGTTCATAATCTCATCCTCAACTCCTCACTCACTCTCACTCCCCATATCCAATCTGTTGCCAAGACTTGTTGATCTTACCTTTGTAACATCTCTCCCATCTGCCCTTTCTGTCCTCTAGCACTGCCAGTGCCCTGGTTGAAGGCCTTATCACCTCGTGCCTAGATTATTGCAAGAGCCTGCTGGTCTGCCTGCCATAAATCTCTCCCTACTTCAGTTCATCCTCTACTCATTTGTTAAAGTGACCTTCCTAACATACAAGTTTAACCATGTCATCCTCCTATTCAACAAATGCCAGTAGCTCCCTATCACCTCCAAGATCAAATATAAAATACTCTGGCAATCGAAGCCCTTTATAACTTACACTGCCACATTTCCAGTCTTCTAACCCCTTATCCTCTCCTTCCCTGCCCTACCCATGTACTTTTCAGTTCAGTAATACTGGCTTCCTTGCTAAGCCTAGAACAAGATAGTCTACCTTCCAATTCCTAGTATTTTCCCTGGTTGTCCTCCAGCCATAGAATGCTTTCCCTTCTCATCTCTGCCTGCTGGCTTCCCTGGCTTCCTTCAAGTTTTAGCTAAAACCCCATCTTTTCAAGCAGGCCTTTCCCAAACCCCTCTTAATTCTCATACCTTCCCTCTGTTGATTATCTCCAATTTATCCTGCATATATCTTGTTTGTACATAGCTGTTTGCGTGTTGTCTCCTCCGTTAGACTGTGAGCTCCTTGAGAGCAGGGACTGTCTTTTACCTTCCTTTGTCTCCCCAGTATTTAGCACAGTTCTTGACATATAGCAGATGCTTAATAAATGTTTATTGACTGACTATGTGTCCTTCCATTGTGTTTTCGGTGATAGGATCATATGATAAATTCGGAGCTGAAAGGGACCTTGGAAGTCATTAAATACAACTGCATTTTACAGATGAGGAAATCGAGGCCTAGGTCACACAGATAATATGTTCCTAATCAAAGATTTGACCTAGGTTTTTCAACTATAAATTTAATGCTCTTTGCACTTTACCACAGTGCCTGCAATTGTGATTATTCTGAAATCGTCATATTCTGTAACAGATATACCATACATTTATTTAAAAAAAATTTATTTCTGATATTCTAAGGCTATATCAGCAAAGCCCAAGCTCTAGCAGCTTCTACCATATTGGAAAGGCTTTGAATATACTCTTGGCCACAGACTATGTTTGTTTTCCAAGGACCACCTTTGCTAAGTATGGAGAATCCCATTATACATATACTGGTCACTTGGTCATGAACAATTTGGCCATCAAAATCATAAATCAAAGGCAAACAGGATTTGCATTGTGCTTTTGCCTTTATTAGAGTCTCTGTTTTAAGTGAGCACTTTTTATTATGCATACATTTTTATTAATTTTAATTGTGATAGTTTGTTGTTTTGCCAATGTTTTTACATAAATAACTCTGCTCTTTGTGTTTTGATCTCCTTGAGAATAAGGTCCCATCTTTGGTTTGTGTTTCCCTTTCATGTGTATGCCAGTTCTGGGCAGAGGTGGGAATTCAGCTGAAGATGCTAACAGCCTGACCATATCTTCCAAGCAGACTCCAAAGGATCTATAGGCCTTCAAAATTTCCCAGAAATATGGTCACCATCCCCCAGAGCATGCTGTAGCAACTATCTTAGTAGGTACAGGGACAAGGACATTCCATCCTTGATCATATTTATCAGTGCCCGCTCCATCTAATCCTACTCATTAAACTTCCCTCACAAGTGGCTGAAGGGAGATCTTTCTACAAAGAACAAGCCTGTGGTGTGTGGACCCATGCATCCTTGTGATGTGAATCAAGTCAGGATTGAAGATAATTTTGGTGATATCATAAAAATGGGGAATATGGAATCCCTGTCCCTTTTCTTACTGCTCCTCCCAATGCTCTCTCTCTCTCTCCTACTTCCAAAATGTGTTGTGGGAATCAAAAAAGCTAATTCCATCTTGGGCTGTGTTAATAGAAGTCTCGTTTCTCAAGTGGAGAAGCTCGTCCACTCTCTGCTGTTGTCAGACTACCTCTGCGGCATCACGCTTAGTTCTGGATACCACATTTTAGGAAGGACACTGGCAAGCTGGAGCATGTCTTGAAAATTGTGGCCAGGATGGTAAAGAAGGCAGCTAGAAACTATGTCATATGAAGAATGTTTGAAGGAATTGGGAGTGTTTACCTGGGAGGTGGGGTGAGGAACATTGGCTCATGGATTCAGAGATGGAAGGGATCTTAGCGGTTATATCCAATCTCTTCATTTTATTCATGAGGAAAACTGAGATCCAGAGAAGTTAAGTGATTTGCTCAGGGTAGTATAGTTAGTAAATAGGGGAGCTGGGGTTTGAACCCAAGTCCTCTGATTCAAAATCCATTGTTCTTTCTTACTGCATCACATTTCTGCCTTCCAATAGCTGAAGGCTTTTTATATAGAAGAGGTAGTAAGTAGACATTCTGTATAGCTCTTGAGGGTGAGACTAGTGATATAGATGTAGCAGTGACAGGAGGGCAAATTTTGGTTCTGCATAAAGAAGAGCTTTCTAACTGCCAGAAAGGATTGGCAGTGGAGGGGGTTGCCTCATGGGATAACGCCCTCCCCATCACAAGATGTATTCAAGCAGGACTGAATGACCCTCTGTTAGTTATGTCATAGAGGATTCTTGCATGGGGTGGGAGGATAGACTTGGTAACCTTTAATGTTTCTTCCAATCTGAATATTCTATAAATCACACGGCTTCCATTTGAAATTTTATTTCCACAAAATGTCACATCATTTCAATGGTAAGAACACAACACAGAATAGAATTTCATATCACAGTGTTTTGAATTGAGAAAAAATGTTCAACAGGAAGGATTTTTGGATTACTCTCCAAGCCTATGGACCACAAAGATTAAGAGAAAAACCCAGAATTACTGTCTAATGCCCACCATTTTGGAATTAAGTGCAGTCTACCTATTGATTACCTTTTCTGATTGACTGTTAGCCTTGTCTGATTGGCTTTTCTATGACTTCTCTCTGCCATCTTTAGCTTTGGTAAAATACATTATTACCAGACTTCTCCACTAGGTGGCAGACCCAGCCTATGAGAAAAAAAAAATAACTTGTATGCAGCATTCAAGGCAGACCTTTTCTCATTCTCTGCATCCTGGCTGCCCAACTTTGACCTATTTACAGAGGATGCTTAATCTGCACAATAGAATGTTGCTTACATGTTGCCTGTAAATTGAATTGTAGAAACTAAGTCATTTCTAAATACACAAGAACATTTTAAACCTCTGTAGAGAAATGTATCCAAGCAAAGGCTGGATGATACCTTTCAGGGTTGTGGTAGAAAAAAAGCTCATGGTCTGTTTCAGGATAGTGCTAGGTGACTTCTGAGACCTCTTCTAATTGTAAGCCCACGTATCCTTTTGTGAAGCCCAATTCGGTTCTTAACTTATTTTTGTATAAGCCCGATTTTTTATCCAAAGTGGCCACATCTGGCCACCATGTACCTCATTCCTCACAGAACCACAGATTTTCAAAGTTAGAAGAGAGCTCAGAGGCTATCTAGTTTAAGCCGTACCCAAACAATAATCCACTCTATAAATGCCTGATCAGTGGTCATCTAGCTTTTATTGGAATATCTCCAGTGAAGAAACTTTTTTTAGCTTCTTGCATATTTATACCAAGATGTCCTGCTAGAACTTCTAACTCCACATGGCCAAAACTGAACTCGTCATTATCGCCCTCCCCAAAAATGTCCCACCTCCTAACTTCTCAATTTCTACAGATGGTATTTCATCCTCCCAGCTTTCCAGGCTGAAAACCTCAAGGTCATTGACTGTATCCTCTTTCTACCACTGACAGAGTCCCAGGGAGGTCTAGAGGTGAAAAATGAGAGTAGGAGGCTTGGCCAATGTAAAAATCCAGGGATCCTGAGGCTCCTAGTCCTCAGAAATACAGCCTTTACCAATAATGGCTTCATTTTTTGGCCAAGAAGATGCACTATTACATTGCGGTTTTCAGTGTAGGTTTAAGGACCTCATTGACCTGCCTGGCATTGCACCCCTTATGGTCAGAGCCATGTAGTTTAGCCCTCAGTTTCTTGAATTGAATTATATTGTTTCTTATATTGTTCACTCCCTCCCCCCTCCCACCTGAGTCTGGTTTCCCCAGTCAGACTATGAGCTCCGTGAGGGTAAGGACCAAGTCTCCTGTCTCTCCTAGAATGCAGGCTAATACAGGGCCACCGATATTATCATACACAAAGAAGGTGCATAATCAAGACTTGTTGACTTTATGGGAGAGAGTAGAATCTGTTGGCCATAACAAGGCTTTTGGATTACTTGTGGATTCCAGTGGTCCTACTCTCAAATGCTGCCTCTGGATAATTGAGAATTGGTAGAATCAGTAAAGCACAGGGAGCAGAATGCAGTCAGTTTCTGAGGGCTGTCATGGGCTCCTTCTTTTGTAGAGAGATGGTAGGGTCTTAGAGCCAGCCATCTCTGTCTGACCAGTGGCCACTGTGTTCCTGCTGTTTCTTTCTTCTGAGAGGAAGGCAGGTGAATATCTCCAAGTTCAGAGAGCAGCAGAGATGTGAATACCAGGACCTTCTATTCTTCTTTTTTCTTCCCCTCTACTACCTCTGTTCCAAGTTTACCTGGTCTGAAGCCTTGGACCATCCACCTCCCAGATCCATTCAATTACTATTTGACTTTTCCCTAAGGGAGGAAAAGATGCTAATTTCTGTTTCCAGGAATTACCATGACTCCAAGGCTGAAGGCTGGACACAAATGTTCGGCAGAAAAAAAGTTCCCCACTCGAGAGGAGGATTGAGCCTTTGCAAACCCTTCTGTTCCCAGGGCTCTTTGTTCAGTCATCAAACTACTTCTCCTTTATGTAAGAACCTTCCAGCCATTTGCACACAGTCCTCAGAGTTTACCGCCAAAGATTGATTGTGTTCATTTTACTTAAGATAAGAGTGGAGGCCAGAGGGGTTCCTGAATTTGTGCCATCTCTTTCTTGCTAAGATGGTTTGTGCTTTTAGAAACTAGTTAAAAAGATTTATCCCTGTTTACTCCTTTCCCTCCACACCAAACCAAGCCTTCATAATGCCCTTTGCTTGCCTTACTCTTATCCCCTGGGAGAAGTACACAGTGGTGTTGAAATCTAGGATTGGGGAAGGAACTCACAGAGTCCAAGACTGCTGGCACTTTGGAGTTTGGAGACTCTGGTCTTGGTCACTTGGCCATTTTATGTCATTTCTTTTTTGTTTGTCTTAATGAAAACAAAACTTCCTGAATTCCCACTCATGGCCCACTCATGGAAGTCTCCTCCAAAGCCCCATTGCTTGAAGCAGGGCTGGGATTGTCTTCTTCCTTTGGGCTTCCTTCTTCAATCTGGGCAGAGACCTCTTTCACTCTTCTTCTTCCTCTTGGGGACTTCTTAGCTACCATAAACAAGAAGGCAGACACTGGAATTAACATCAGGGTGGGGGAATCTTTCAGAAAAAGGACTACATAGGTCATTGGATGTGAGGGATACTGGGAAAAATGGACCCTAAGCTAGATCAGATCTGAGACCAGGGCCTGCCCCAGGCAAATTGCTGAGCAGGCACCCACTCATTTTTATTTCCACACATCTTCCTTACTGTCTAGCAATCCTCTTTTCCTATTCTACAGAAGTCCTGGGCTTTCTGGCAGTCCAAAGCAACCCATCCATGCCTGTCTTCTCTCACTCTTTCCAGTGGTGTTTTTGCAAATTACCTTCCCAGTTACAACTCCTAAGCTCTCTATATGGAAACTCTTGGCCAGATATTAGGAGAAAAACTTTTGATAAATTAAGTCATACTAAGCTGTGAATTCGATACAATTTTTTCAAGAGTGTTTGGATATAAGAGGCTCGTTAACTTTTTTTTTCTTTTGTTAGGCAATGGGGTTAAGTGACTTGCCCAGGGTCACACAGCTAGTAAGCGTTATGTGTCTGAGGCCAGCTTTGAACTCAGGTCCTCCTGACTCCAGGGCTGGTGCTCTATCCACTGTGCCACCTAGTTGCCCCGAGGCTTGTTAACTTAAAGAGCCCTATAATTGGTGCCACTTAAGGTTGGAACAGTATGAAGAATCTCAAGCATTGTGGAGGAGATCCTTTTGAGAAGTGCAACCAGATGCCTTTTCCCATGTTCCCAGCCAATAAGCAGTAAGCATTCTTCAGGATTGTGGAGGCATTTACTTCCGGAAGAACATTATCTTCCAGGAATGGAGGCCTTGACACAGGGAAACATATCTTCTAGAGGTAGGAGTGAAGGAGCAAAAAAAAGAATAACAGAATCTTTGCATTTTAGAGCTGGGAGAGACCATTAAACTCAGCCCATGTCTGAGCAGAAATCCCCTCCCCCTAACCAAAGTACTAAATTAGTCTTGTTACTGGATTTTTTTTTGCCTCAGTTTAATAATCAGGCAAAGGAGAGTCATCTTTCTGAAGACGATACAAAGCACATAGAAGCAACCTAGTACAGAGGAAAGTAATGCTGGATTTGGAATCAGAAGACCTGCCTCTGCCACTTTCTACCTGTGTGACCCTGGGCAGGTCACTCAACCTCTTTAGCCTCAGTTCTTCAACTGTAAAATTGAGGGGTTTGACTAGGTGACCTGGGCAGTCCCCTCCAGTTCTAAGTCTGTGATAGAGCTCGGGTTATCTGGGCTGAACTTTCTGATTATTTGGATTCTTGATAAATGAGCGTTTTATTGTTAAAAAAGCCTTTTGGGCCACCAGAAACATAGTGCAGTGCTTTCTCTGGAAGTTAGGCTTATCTCTTTGGTTTGGGGTCCAAGCTGATTTTCTAGTAGCTTAGATAACTCCTTGTCATAAAACTCTGTTCCCTGGGGTGAGGAGCATCCTAGATTGGGTATTTTCCCTCTCAAATCATTCCATTTTCAGTGAGTCCTATCATTGACTTACATGACCTAGAGAAATAATACTTTCCCCAGGCCACTTATGGAATAAGAGGAGTAGGGTGAGAAGCATTTGTTTTTCTGCCTCTTTCTGCTAGGTGTCTGTGCAGGAAGAATTTTCTTTGAAGGTTTGCCTAACTTTGAAGATGTACCTAGGGGATTAGTGGCATTTTCTGGCTCCTTATGCTTCCTGTGTGGCAAGCCCAGGCCCTTCTATCTCAGGATGTAGGCAGCTACTTCCAGGGAGGTAATCCTTTTCGTTGCTACTCCAGAATTTAATTACAGCTCTTGTATCCAGAGTCCCTTCAAACTAGGGGAAAAAAAAACCAAAACCAAAACCAAACACAAACCACATGGGGCAGCTGGGTGGCAAAATGGATAGAGTGCAGGGCCAGGAATCAGGAGAACCCAGTTCAAATATGGCCTCAGGCACTTACTAGCTGTGTGATCCTGGGCAAGTCACTTAACCTTGATTGCCTCCAAAAACTCCCCCAAAACAAAACAGAACAAAACAAAACGAAACAAAAAAGCAAGGGCAGAGTGAAGATTGCTTGCTAGTAAGAAATCAAAGAAGACTTCCTCACAGTGTAAGGGGGCACATACTCTGGGTGTATATGACTGAGGGCAGGGAATTCTACTTTGTGGGCCCTTTCTTTGCAAAAATGAGCAGCTGTGGCATGGACCCTGCTTTGTGGTATGTTCTCCAGGAGACAGTCATGCTAGCTCTATGGGAGTCCCACTCTGGTAGTATACAGTTGTTTTTTTCTCTTTTAATAATATTTCCATTAAATACAAGGCAAATAAGAGGTAGTAGATCGAAGGCTGCTCTTGGAATCAGGAACACCAATGTTCATATCCAGCCTCTGATACATATAAGCTGCATGGTTGTTTTTCAGTTGTGTCCAACTCTTCATTTGGGGTTTTCTTGGCAAAGATACTAGAGTGGTTTGCCATTTCCTTTTCTACTTATTTTACAGATGAAGAAACTGAGGTAAACAAGGTTAAGTGACTTGGTCAAGGTAACACAGCTAGTAAGTGTCTGAGGTCAGATTTGGACTCTGGTCTTCCTGACTCCAGGCCCAGCACTCTATGCACTATGGCACCACCTAGCTGTGTGGTAAGTCACATAATTTGTCAGTGCCCCCAGAAGTCTCTAAAAGTAGGTTACAGATGAGTTGCTGATCTCCAACAGTGAAAGGTGTTTCCACACTGGGAATTACCCACACTGATTAAAAATACTCATCTGCACTAAAAAAGAAAATATTTCAAATGCTCAAAAGGAAGTAAAAAACCAAGTTGTAGGGTAACCCCAGGTGAGAGGCTGAGCCCATCTGCTATCCTTGTGCGTTCAGGAAACTCCATCACGACTAAGATTCACCAGATGGAACCACGAAGCTCCTGCCAGTACCCCATCTTGAATTGTACCAAAACAAAGAACTGACTTAATAAACCCACAGCTTCCCCACCCATGGCCCCTTGGGGCCCATCTGTACCATTCTGCAAAACATCTGGTTTGCATGATGAGGCAGGATGCAGCTACTGAGCTTGGGGCTGCTTAAAGCTTGGTCTTATCAAGGGCAATTTTCTGCTTATTCACCAGTAGGAAATAGCTGTATAACCCATGCCATTGTTGGAAAGTCCAACTGCTACAGCCGGTCTGGAAAATAAACAGGAGTTGCATAAAAGCTTTCTCCAAATGTCAATAGTGTATTGTGGAGTGGGTGGCCTCCGCTGTCAATCCATGTTTCTGGATATTGCTTGTATAAACACTGAGGGACTTACATGTATTAGCTTATGTGTGAAAGAGGGCTCTTTCAGAGCTCTGGTTGCCAAGTCTGGGTGGCTAACCATTAGCAGGAAGTTCCCTGGACTGGAGAGATACGTGGGGTTCCCAATGTACAGGGGACCGTGTCTTATCACAGGGAACGCAAACCCCAATAGTATCACCCTAGGCAAATGTTTGAGCAGCATGAGCTTCTTGTGGTGGGAACAAACAGTCAGGCTTCACCCTCTGCAGCTCTTCCGCTTTTAAATGGAATCCTAATCCAGCAAGCCCAGGGTTTGGGCCCCAGCATCCTGGGAAAGGGCCTGAAATAGTTTCTGATACTTGATTTGGAACTTTTGTTACATAGCAGGATAATGGTAGCAGTGATGACAAAAAGTCTCTTTGTATGATACCTTTAACCTTTTGACCTCATAAACATTATTTCCATTCATTTTTTTCTTTCTTTCTCTTCCGTAATGCTTTAAATTACTCCAGCTGTAAGCAACCTTACAGATCATTCAGGTCAACTCTTTCATTTACAGATGAGGAAACTGAGACCCAGAGAAAAGAAAAGGCGGCATGGCGTGATGTATTCTGCTTGATAGAATGCAATTTCCTTGAGGGCCAGTACTGTCTTGTTTTTTTCAATTTGTTTCCAGTGCAAGTACTTATTAAGATGACTACTATGTATCAGGCACACAAATATAAAAGTCAGACAATACCTGCCCTCAAGGCACTTACATTCTACCCAGGGGGATAGAATATGTTCATAGTGCTTTCTAGTTTATGAAGTTTGATCTCACTCCTGGCCCAGTGTTCAGCTGAACCTAGATGCTGGGCTACCTTGAAGCCATTCAGGTGGTTTTAGTCACAGCTTTGAGTAGGCAGATGATAAGTATGTCCAGAGTTGCTGGGAGGCAAATTCAAACATGATTAGAAACTAGAAATAATAATTGCCCCCTGAGACCTGGCTCTCCTTCTCCCCTATCATCCCCTCCTCTCTCTCCCATAATGCTCTTTACCCTCTTGGAAAAGCCAACTCTTTCGGCTGGGCCTTCTTCTCTTATACCTTTACTCCATAGATCTTGTCCTCGTTTCCGTTTCTTGGGCAATCCCTGTATTTTATCCTTCACACAGAAATACCTTAGGTCTTCTCCCTGGGTATCTTGGTTGGTTCCTGGGTCATAATTAGGAGGCACCTGAAGCACATGAGAGATATTGCTTAGGTTAGGACACAGCACCTTCTAATCCCAGGTCAGAATCATAGGGTTTGGAGCTGGAGGGGTTCAACCACCTCATTTTATAGAAAATAAACTATGGCTCAGAGAGGGACACACAGTTAGTAGTTATGCTGGGACATGAACTCCTCTGGCTTTAAATCTACTGCTGGTTCCATTTTTCCCTTCATGTTATCTTCGCATTCTCATTCAACCATCTTCCCCTTTGGTGTCCCTAAGTCCCAGGTGGCAGGAACAAACCTCACTGTCTGAGGTATCCATCTCATCAGACTCTGGCTTCGAGGACTCAGCGTGGTTGGTGTCTGTAAGGCACAAGAAAGAATGTTGGGCTCTTGGTTTTAGTGAACAATGGCTTAGAAGTTCAGCTGTTTGTGTCCACATCTCATTTCATTGCAATAAAAGGCCTTTAATGTCATCAGAATCACCTACTATAGAAATCCCTACTGTAACCCCCCCAACAAGTTGTTGGTGAGCTTTGACTTGAAGACCTACTATGAGGGAACCCATTACCTCCCAAAGAAGCCAGTTCCACTTTTGGGTAGTCCAATGGTTGGGAAGTTTTCCATCACATTAAGCCTAAGCTGGCCTTTTTATGGCTTCCCCTCAGTCCTCCTGGTTCTGTTCCCTGGGGCCAACAAGTAATAAGGATAGGGATTGAGCTATGATTTTATAGGTTGTATGCCTATAGGTATAAGGAACTTGAAGGTAAAGAAACTTCCTTTATCAATGCAGGTAGGAACTTTCTCTTCAATTTACAACTTTAGTGAGTTGCCTTGAGCACTGAGAGATTGAATGACTTGTCCATAGTCACAATCACAGCCAGTTTATGTGAGGGATGGAACTTGAACCCAGGTCTTCCTTAATTGGAAGCTGGCTCTCTATCCACTATGACAAGCCTAATCTTTATTCCATATGATAGTCCTTGAAAAGTCCAGCAGAGCTTTTATATCTCTCTAGACTTTTCTACAGAATAAACATCCTTCAATTGTTTCTCATATGATGTGGGCTCAAGACTCTTCACCATCCATCCTAGTTTCCTTTCTCTGGACAGTCTACAGCTTAGCAGTGTCCTTACACTGTGGAGCCCAGAATATTCTAGTGGTCTGACCAGGGCAGAGTACAGAGGGCTGTCCTCTTCTTCCTGGAAGCTATGCCTGTCTTAATGAAGCCCAGAGCTAATGTATTAGCTTTTTAGCCATCCCATTACATTGTTGACTCATATTGAGATTGTGACCCACTAAAACCCCCAGATCATTTTCAAACAAAGTGCTATCTCTCTGATCTTGTACTTGTGAAGTTAGAGTGGTCCCTCTACCAGTGCAGATCACATTGGATGGCAACCTTTGTCTCTATCCTTCTATAAGCCTTCCAAGTAGGGTCCACTCAGCATAGAGAAGGTCCTCCTCTAATTGTTGTAGTATCTTAGACTAGTTAGTGTGGTATAATATGCAAAAAACTGAATTCATCATCTTCTCCCACCAAATTCTTCCTTCTTCTTAACTTCCTTATTCATGAAGTTGCCTCTGTGCTCCCAGTCACCTAGGATGACAACCTAGGTATCATGCTTGACTCCTCACTCTCTCTCAACCTCCCCATCTCCATATTTAATCTATTGCCAATCTATTTACGTTTGTAACACCTCTCATTTTATAGTCTTCTCTCCATTGACACTGTCACCTTTGACAATGTCTCCACTGACACTCTACCTCCTCTCCATTGATACTACTACCACCGTGGTGCTGGCACTAATCACCTCATGCCTAGGCTATTGCAATAAGCTGCTGGTTGGTCTTCTTGCCTCCAGTCTATCCTCCACTCAGCGGTCAAAATTTCCCAAAGCACAGGTCTGATCGTGTCACCTCCCTGTTCAATAAATCGAGTGGTTCCATATTACCTCTAGTTCCCTATTCTAGTTCTAGTTCTCTAGGTTCCTTAACACCACCAGGATGAAATATAAAATAGACTCTGACATTCAAAACCCTGTATAACCTAGCTCTTTCCTACAATTCTAGTTTTCTTACACTTTATTCCTCCCCCATATACTCTGTGACCCAATGACATTGGCCTCTTTGCTGTTTCTCAGCCAAGACCCTTAAATTTCCAACTCCATGCATTTTTACCAGCTGTCCCCTTTGCCTGGAATTCTCTTCTTCCTCACCCTCTCCTCCTGGATTGTTTGAAGTCTCAGCTAAAGTCTCACCTTCTGTAAGAAGTCTTTCCCAGTTCTCCTCAATCTTAGTGTCTTCCCTCTGGGAAACTGGGATGTTTTCCAGTTTCTTCTGTCTATACCTTGTTTGTACGTAATTGTCTGCATGTTGTCCCTCCCATCAGACTGTGAGCTTCCTGAGGGCAAGGACTGTTTTTTTTAAAACCCTTTTTTTGTATCAGTGTGTTGCTTAGCACAGTGTATTGCACGTAGGAAGTGCTTAACTTCAATGCTTATTGACTTTAATTACAGGCTCTCCTAAATAAGATTCATAATCATTCACATTTAATGCTAATGTCTTTTATCTGTTGACAACCACCAATTTACTTTGTCTTATATATATTTTGTGTATGTAGCTGTTTTTCTGCTGTCTTCTTCATTAGACTATGAGTTCCTTGAGGACAAGGATTGTCTTTTGCCTTGCTTTGTATTTCCAGTGCTTAGCACAGTGCCTGGCACATAGTAGGCGCTTCATAAATGCTTATTGACTGAGTGACTACTTTCTCTCATTCTTACTGCATAACTAGCCCGCCTCCTTTTCCAGTCATCCATGTCCTAGATTATGTCTGGTTTCTTTCATAACCAGAATGTCAATATGGATGTGGTTCAGTTCCTCCAGCAATATGTCAGCTCATTGACCGTTGGCCAAATAGCCCACATTAAGAATATGAACAATTAAATTAATGTTTGTATACTGTATAAGAACTGTGTAAACAATACCTTCTGTACCCTACTTCATTATTATGGAAGCTGAAGGGAGAAAGGAACACGTAAGACTGAGGACTATTTTGTATTTTGTCTATTTCTTGGGTCTCAATGCCCTCCTCCTCCTCTCCCCACCAATGGCCATCATTTAGTGGGATCCAGCCCTCTGGCAATGGTCCTCCCTGCACGTAGCTAGTACAGCAGATACAGTGTGTAGGTTCATAGTATATTTAGATGATAATAACAGTCTTTTTCTCTGTTTCATCAGGATATAGCACTTCATAGTGGTTTGCAAAATGTCTCAGAGTGGATAGAGACTTTACTAGCCATAGTCTCATTGAATCTGTACTGAAGTAGACAGGACAGAGATAATAATTCTAATTTTACAGTCACTTTTCCACCATCCATCTTTTAGGGGATCCAGCCTTGCTGTTTTAGACACCTTGCTAGGCTGGAATAAGATTCATCCCTCTCTTGGGGAATATAATGCCAGGTCAAAGAAAGCCTGTCACCCAGGAGAGGAGTTCCCTCATTGACATGTCATTCACTGACACCTTGGTGCAAAAGAATATATCACCCCATTCTTGAGAGCAGTTTTTGATGTAGGCAGAGGGAGGGACCCTGGAGAACAAGGAACAAAGGCCCTGGGCCCAGGAAAAGGAGTCTAGGCATGTCAAGCTTTCCTGATTTCCCACTTTGCCAAGGGTCACCTCGGCCCAGCACTAGGCCTGTCAGCCACACCTCCACCCCAGATCTCCTGATCTCCCCAGGATCTTCTTGCTAGACCCAAGGCTCAGTTTACATAGTGAGTTGGCAGTGGCCAAAGCCGTCTTAGGCTACATCTCTTGATGTGACTCATGGTCTGGCTCCCAGGAAGTAGGCATGAAGGGATTCAATTATAACAACATGGGGAAGGCTCGGAAAATGACTACAGTTAGAAGGAAAGAAGTAGGAGGAGGATTCTAGAGTCTCAGTCACATGAAGAAATCCAGAACTGGAAAGGCCTTGAACAGGAATCTATTCTAGTTCTTCTCCACCAGCTGGGCAAATATCTAAACCACTCAAGCTACCCTCTAATGAGTTGTATCTTGGTTTTGTAATAACATAGCATTTGTATAATATTTTATATATTTTCAAGCAATTCTACTTATATAAAACACTCATTCCTTTCCAAATATGTTTTCCTTTCTGTCATCTTATCTTCCCAATACCCATGTGAGATAGATTTATTCTTTTTCCCATTTTACAGATGATGAAACAGAGACTCAGACAGGTAAATTGTCCAAGATCAATACCCTTAATGATACTACCCTGAACTACTTTTCAATTTTATCAAGGTCACTTTGAATCTTAACCTCTGCAAATTTGTGGACCATTATTCTCTATGCCATTCATCATCAATATGCATATTGAATAAGGGGGGTCCCTAGGATTTGTCCTTTCTGAATGTCACTCCACGGGTTCACCACAACCCACTAATAATACATTGTTCTCAATGACATGGATGCAATAGTCCTGTAGTTAGCAAGAATATTGGCTTTAAATCAGGAGACCAAGATTTTCATCTCAACTCTACCATTTGCTATCATGTTACCTTGGGCAGGTCATTTTACTTCTCTGAGTTGTTGTTGTTATTGTTGTTGCTGTTGTTTTTGGTGGGGCAGTTGGGTTTAAGTGACTTGCCCAGGGTCACATAGCTAGTAAGTGTTAAGTGTCTGAGGCTGGGATTTGAACTCAGGTCCTCTCGACTCCAAGGCTGGAGCTCTATCCATTGAGCCACTTAGCTGCCCCTACTTCTTTGAGTTTTAGATTCCTCATCTATAAAATGGGGATAATTATAGTTGTACTACGTAGAAAGGCAACAGAGCATAGTGGGTAGAGGGCTGGACTGAGAGTCAGGAAGATGTGTGTTTTAATCTAAGACTTATTCTTGGATCCATGGGTATGTTGCTTGTCTTTCTGAGGTTCAATTTCCTCATCCTTAGAATGGGGATAATACCCGTGGTACCTAACTCATAGTGTTGTTGTAAAGTCAGAGGAAATAATATGTGAAAAGTACTTTGTAAACTTGAAAGTTCTAAATAAGTGTCATAAATAAATGTCTAAATAAATTCTTATTATTAGCTACCTCTAAGCTAAGGTATCCAGTGAGGTCATGTATATAAATTGCTATAGAAATATAAACAATTATTATTACTGTGACATATCAATTATTTTATGGATATGATATGATCTTAGGATCATAGGATATAGAGCTTTAAGAGCCCTTAGAGATCACTTAGTCCATTTTATAGTTGAGGAAACTGAAATCTGCAGAAGAGAAGATGGCTGTCCATGGTCATCCAGGGAGTAAGTGGCAGAGGCAATATCCTTTAAGCAATTATTTTACATTTTAGCAGAAGACCATGGTTGGGAGAGGGATTCAGAACTGTCCCAGAGATGGAAATATAATCTGAAAGTGCAACAAGCAATGAATTTTGTATTGCAATCCAATCAATATGCTAGATTAAGCTATTTAAAAATAACAACTAACATTTCCATAAAACTTTAAAATTTGATATATTATCACATTTTAGCCTCATATCAACCCTGTGAGGTAGGTGCTATAGGCATTATTATTTCCATTATATACATTTGGGGCAGCTAGGTGACAGAACAGATTGAGCTTTGAGCCAGGAGTCAGGAAAACCCAAGTTCAAATCCAACCTCAGACACTTACTAGCTACATGACCTTGGGTAAGTCACTTAACCTCTGTCAGCCTTGGTTTTCTCATCTGTAAAATGGGGATAATAATTGCACCTACCTCCCAGGATTGGTGTGCAGATCAAATGAGATAATGATTATAAAGTGCCAAACACAATGCCTGGCACATAGTCAGCACTATACAAATGTTGGCTAGTATTATTGGGAAGTCGAACCTCCTGTAGGTTAAGTGACTTGCTCAGGATAACACAGCTAATAAGTGTCAGAGGCAGGCTTCTGAACCTAAGTCTTCCAGACTCCCAGTCCAGCAGTCTGTGCACTGTGTCCCTTTATCTGTTATTTTGATGTCACATACTAGTAGGATTACCTGGATGACCATCTGCTTCTTGTTTCCGGAGAGACAACCTCAGCCTGATTCCTGGTTCATGTTCAGCCTCGTCTGAAGTGAGCTTGCTGGGATGATGACCTTGTGTGGATGGCATTCGCTCCTAGGAGATAACATGGAGGACAATAGTATTTAGCATCTCCTGGGCTCTGCGTACTTTCTGATCTAAGCAGCCGATCCCTCCAAACCTGGGGCTTAAAGAAGCCCTCTCTGGGTCCCTGCTACCCCAATCCTTGTTCCAGAGCAGGAAATTCCTAGGCTTTGGACCCAGGCAATATTCTGCTATTGTTCCCATGCTCAATCTTATTTCAAGTGCCATCCCTTGATATATGATATTTTATAGGTTTTTCGTGGGATTTTACAAATCATGAAACCCAATCCCTAATTTTTATAGGTGATAAAACAGGTTCACAAAGTTAAGTGGCTGAGCTGGGATTTGAACTCAGGCCTTCTGACTTCAATTCTAATATTTTCCCCCCATGTCTTATTGTAACACTAGGTGACTTTTAAGTACCCTCTTTAAGGTCTAGATGATCTCCGAGGATTTTTCTAACTCTGGGCAGCTAAGCTCCTTTGGCTTTTGGTTTTTATCATTTTGCTTTTCATTGATGGGGTCATTTTTCAAAGGAGCCCTGTGAGACATTGTTGTTCAGGCACAGAAAATTTTATTTACTTAAAGAATAATCAATGCAATAGTCTAGAAATCAAAATGCACAACTTAAGAAATTTAGAGGCCACTGAAGGCCTCTAAGGGTGTTTTTTTTCTTTTTAATTTAAAGTGCTCTCATTTAACTGGGAGTAGTCCCTAAATCCCATGGATGCTATAGTAAAGAGAATAAGGAGGGTGACAAGCAATTAACACTTTTTCATACAGCTATATAGTTCTCTAATATTTCCTGTGTGGCAAGCTTGTCTCATGATTAGAGAGACAAGGAGGAGACTTCTCATATGCTCCCCAAGGACAGTGAGCCTGTATTCTTCTGAGTACAGGTACTACAATTCTGAGCAGATGGGGATGGGGTGGGGTTGCAGGTTGTGGAAAAACTTGTTGGCTTACTGATCAAACAGGCCAAGAGGAACACAGGCCTTGGAGTCATAAGACCTAGGCTTTATTTCCAGCTCTGTCACATACTAACAAAAAATCAGTTTTTAAAAAAAATCACTTTGATTTCTTTGTCTGAAAACTGCCTGTTTATATCCTTTGACCATTTATCAATTGGGGAATGACTCAGTTCTCTATATATTTGAGAAACGAGGCCTTTATCGGAGATACTTGTTGCAAAAGTTAAAGAATTTTTTTCCAATTTTATATAATCAGAATTATCTATTTTACATTTTGTAATGCTCTATCTTTTTTGGTCCTAAATTCTTCCCTTACCCAAAATCTGGCAGATACATTATTACATGCTCTCCTAATTTGCTTATGGTATTACCTTTTATGTGTAAATCATGTGTCCATTTTGTCCTCTTCTTGGTATATGATGTGAGATATTGGTCTATACCTAGTTGCTACCACAGTTTTCCAGTTTTCACAGCAGTTTTTGTCAAATAATGAGTTTTTGTCCCAAAAGTTTGGATCTTTGAGTTTATCATATGCTAGATTACTATATGGTCATTTACTATAATGTATTGTATATCAAATTCATTCCACTGATCTACCACTTTATTTCTTAGCCAGTACCAGATTATTCTGATGTATTACCTATATCTGATTTCTTACCATCTCAGAGAGGGGGGAAGGAAGGGAAGAAGGGAGTAATAGAACTTGGAACTCAAAACTTTAACCCTACCCCCCACTTAATAGTATTTTATTTTTTCCAATTACATGTAAAGATAGTTTTCAACATTTATTTTTATAAGATTTTGAGCTCCAAATTTTTCTTTCTTCTTCCCTCTTCTCCCCCCTCTCCAAAACAGCAAATAATCTGATATAGGTTATACAAGTACAATCATGTTAAACGTATTTCCACATTAGTTATGTTGTGGAAGAAGAATCAGAACAAAATGGAAAAACCACAAGAAAGAAAAACCAAAAACCAAAAAACCCCCACCAAAAACCAAAATGAAAATAGTATGCCAAATTTGATCTGCATTCAGACTCCATTGTTCTTTCTCTGGATGTGGATAGCATTTTCCATTGTGAGTTTTTTGGAATTGTCTTGGATCATTGTATTGCCGAGAAGAGCTAAGTCTATTATAGTTGATCATTGAAAAATGTTGCTGTTACAGTATACAATGTTTTCCGGGTTCTGTTCATTTCACTCAGCATTAGTTCATGTAAGTCTTCCCATGTTTTTCTGAACTCTGCCTGATCATTATTTCATATAGCACAATAGCATTCCATTACACTCACATACCACAAGTTGTTCAGCCATTCCTCCAATTGGAGGGCATCCCTGCAAATTCCAGTTCTTTGCCAACACAAAGAAAGCTGCTATAAATATTTTTGTACATGTGGGTCCTTTCCCCTTTTTATGACCTCTTTGGGATACAGACATAGTAATGGTATTGCTAGATGAAAGGTGTGCAGTTTTATAGCCCTTTGAGTATGGCCCTCAAAACTTAAAAAATGTTAAAAATTGTTTTAACATGTAGCTAGAGAAAAATAAATAATATTTTAAAATTACTTTCAGATTGACAAAGCACTTTTTCACAGATGCTCCTACGAGGTAAGTAGTATGTTATTTTCACTTTACAAATGAATAATCTGAGACTAAGAAAGATGAAATCCCTTGTCCAAGATCGCACAACTAGTAAGTAGTAGACCTGGGATTTGAAAGTGTCTTCTGACTCCATGCCCAGCAAGACTAGCTGTATAACATTTTACTTTGTGCCTCGTTTTTCTTCACTGTAAAATGAGTGAATTGATGTATTTGGCCTCTCAGATCCTTCCCCTCTGAAGGTCTAAAATTCTGTTATTCTGTGATCTACGCCTAAACTACGAGGGGATGGGTCTTAGACGTCAAGGCAAACTTGTGGATAAGTTGGGTGACAATGGAGCATGGCTTGCTATGGGAGCTTGGGGTGGGGTAGGGAAACCCCACTTAGAATGCCCTCTCCTCTTTTTTACTCCTCTACCTATCCTTCAAGGTTTGAATCTCCCAAGATTACTCAGGCCCACACTCAACTATCCATTTTCTAAACTCTGATTGTGCCTGGAGTTCATACTTCATATTTTACCACTTAATTGTTCTCTGTTTCACAAGTGTCAGTCTTGTTTTCTTAGCTAAACTGTGAAATCCTTGAGGGCGGGGTGGTGGCTTTCCTAAACTACACTTGAATAAAACTCTCCTACAATATCCCCAACAAATGCTCAAGTCTTCGCTTAATGACTTCTAGGAATGGAGGGGACCCACTTACCTCCAGAAGCAGCTCATTCCATTTTTTTGGATAACATTAATTGTTAGGAGATTTTCCCCCCTTATATCATGCCTGAGTTTGCCTCTGTAACTTTTAGCCATTGCTCTTAATTGTGTCTTCTGGAGCCAGACAGAAAAGTTTAAACCATCATCCAAGTGATAGCCCTTCAAATACATGATGACAGTGTTCTAAGTCCCTTGATATCAAATTCTGTTTTCCTTAGTATCACCTTGTCATTCTGTCAGCATCCCTGCTGCCTGTCTTAGCTATGAATAACCAGCCACCCATGTGATGTGACCTAAGGATGCTATGAGATAAAATTCTGAAATGTATTATAAAGGGATAGTTTGTGGACCTCTCAAAAAAGGAGCAGTGATCATGAAAAGTTAGAATGGCTCTACGCAAAATGAGGTCATTAAAAAAAAGCAACCTAGCAGCCCTTTGTATGGTGGCAAGAAAATGGAAAGAAAGTATATGCCAATTGATTGGGGAATAAATGAACAAGTTGTGTAAATGAATGTAATGAAATATTATTTGCTAAATAATATTTAAAAAAATATGTTTTAAGTATTTTAAGAAATTATAAAATGAGGAATTCAGAGAAATGTGAGAAGACCTGTGTGAATTGAGGCAGAGTTACAAAATAGAATCAGCAGAACAATATGCAGGACTGCAATAGAGTTTTAAAATGCTAAAAGATAGCTTAATCTATAGTAAGTGAAATGACTTATATTGTTTCCAGAGGACAAATAATGAAACACATTTCCCTTTTTCAGTAGAGAGGTAATGGACTATGGGTGCAGGATGTTACATATCCTGGCAGATGAGCCACTCTGTAGATTCATTTTGCTTCCCTGTTTTGAATTATTACAAGGAAGGGCTCTATCATGAGATGATAGTGACATATAAACCAAAAGGCATTAATAAAATATTTAAAAAGGTCATGCCACACTAAATTTACTTGCTTATGTGACATGGTTATTAAAGTAGTAGATCAGGGAATGTAGTAGATATGATTAACTTAGCTATTAGCAAAGCATCTGGTAAAGTCTCAGGTTATTTTTTGGAAAAGATAGAATAAGATGGGCTATGGAGGGGGGGGAACTTTTGGCCTTGAGGCCACCTATGGCCCTCTAGGTCTTCAGGTGTGGCCCTTGGACTGAATTCAGTCAATTAGGTGTATTTGGAATTGGTTGAATGACTAAATCAAAAAAATAGCTATCTTGTCACTGTCATCTTGGAAGGAGGTATGCAGGGAGATATCTGTGCTTGGCCTTATGTTGATAAACATTTTTTTCTTTTTTAATCAATGATTTGGATAGAGGCTTACCCAGAGGCTACAGATGGCTGAAAGGAAGAGGGCTACCTTTCAAAAATAGGCAGACAAGCCAGAAGGAGAGGATCACTAATTTTCTGCTCTATTCAATTAAATAAATGTTGATAAATATTGAAGTTATGGGAGGTATAGAAATAAAAGTCCTAGAGCTTGTCCTTAGAGTTTGCAGTCACATGGATAAATTGAATATAACATAGAAAAGGATATTAAAGGCAACCTGCTGCCTTAAAAAACTCTAGAGGCTCCCTATCAGCTTTAGGATGAAATATCTGTTTGGCATGTAAAACTCTTTACAAGATGTCTTCTTCCTATTATTTTAGTTTTCTTACACATCATCTTCTGGCACGTTGAGGTCCAGGCTTACTCTCTGTTCTTTACACATTATGCTCCCATGTTTCATCTCCATACCTTTGTACTAGGCTATCCCCTGTGCTTGGAATGTTCTCTTTCTCACCTCTTGGAATCCCTGGCTTCCTACAAGATTCAGCTTAAGCAGCCACCTTCTGAGGGAGGTCTTTCCTGTCTCCACCCTCCTCCCCTGCCACTCCTTCTCCTCTTATTATGCCTTGCATAGTGTCTACTTTGCATGTATCTTGCATATGTTTATTTTTTCACACATTATCTCCTCCATTAGAATGTAAGCTCTTTGAGGTCTGGGAGTATCTTTATACCCTCCAGTGTTTAGCAGAATACCTGGCACTTGAAAAGAGAACAGTTGTTTGCTTGTTGATTGATTTGAAAGGCAGTCTCTGAAGAATGCAGACAAGCTAAAGAGTAGGTAGGAAAACACCAATGTAGGCAGCAGGGTCCAGGAAGTCTTCCTAGGGAGGTAGATCTTGAGCAGGAGCCCTGGGGTGGGAGGTGGGGGTGGTCCAGGGCTGAAGAAGGCTTAGCAGGGAGGAGAAAGACTGAGTCCCCTGGTGCCTCAGCTCCTGGATGGACAGGCACCAATCACATTCTAGTCTGAACCATCTGGACAGCTCTTTAGCCTCAGCTGAGTACACTAAGGTGTGTCAGAGGGCACAGGGCACTCTGTTGGCAGGCTCCTTGATGTCTTTCTGAGAGTCAAAAAATACTCTTGAAGGGTGGCATCTGCTTTGGGGACCTGTGAGCTCCTGTTCTGTGGAGCCTGCTTTGGCTTCACAGAAATCACAGATCCTGATTTGTTTCAAAAGGCAGGTAGTTAGTTATTGAGTAATCTTTCTAGGAGACATCACAGTGCCTGGGGCGGTGCTGGAGCCCCTTCCCAGGAGGCTCAGAGAGTTTGAGAGTCACTAGGCAATAAATCAGGATTTGTCACCTGCATCCTTAGGAGTCAGACTGAGGCCACTCAGAATATTGGGGGTAGAGGGAAGGGAGAGGAGGAGGTAATTAAACCCCAGTAGTTCCCTTAGAAAGAATAAAGGAATGAATAGTCATTAATGCATCAGTGGGGCTGCTAGGCTTAGAGTTAGATCCCCTTTTATTTACCTGTTCTGTGTTGGGCTTTAGGAGTCTCCATCCTATATTCTATTCTCTCTCAATTTCTTGGAGTAAACACCACCTAAACCACAATGTGAATGTGTTTTCCTTTTGGTTCACATAAAGTGAGAACTGAAGTTAAGAATGTTAATGGTGAAATGAAATATAGGTTATGCTTGGAGATTTCCTCAGAGCTTAAGCCAAAATACAAGCAGAATTTGTGATAGAATCATGAAATGCAATATGTAAATAAGTATTTTACATCCTGAGAGCCCTAGACAGAGCCTAGAAAAACCTGGGCCAAGCTAAGTCAAGGGACTAAGGAAAAAGGCAAGGGGAGGGAAAAGGCAAATGCTTGTTGCATTTAGGACAACTTTCTAATTAACCTGCCTTACAGGTGTCAAAAATCCTTCTTTCACTATCTACCTACCTTTAATGATTCAATTAAATACCTCATCTCATGAAGATCTATTTTCATAGTTTCATGTGGAATAAGCATCACCTACCCTGATATCCATTACTGAGATAATTTATTAAGGCATTTTGAAAATTTTGGGCACCATATAAATGTCAGCTGTTGTTATTTATTATTATCATCACACCTTTGACCCTTATTTTCCATGTAACCTTGGCAAGTCACTTGCCTGCTATGTAACTGAGTCAATTTCCTAAGACTTACCTGCTACGATATAGACAAGTTAGATGACAAGTTTATCAGACTTTGAGATAACACAAAGCTTATATGATTAGCTAACACACTAGGTTACAGAGTGAAGATTTCAGAAGAACTTGACAGGCTAGAGCACTGAGATGACTTTAATAATATTAAATGTGAAGTCTTATTCTTGGATTAAAACAATCAACTTCACAAGTACAAAATGAAATGGTATGCCTAGATGGCTATTAATCTAAAACTATCTAGAAATTTTAGTGCTTTGTAAGCTCAATAGGAGTCAACAGCATTATGTGGTAAGCAAGAAACATAATAAAAGCAGTCTTAGGCTTCATTGAAATAGCCCTGGTGTCTTATTTCAATAATGTCTGACTTTTGCACAGATTTAGTCATGCTGTTCCTACTCAAAATCCTTCCTTGGCTACCTTATTGTCTACAGTACAAAGTAGCCAGCACCTAGGACAGTGCATACGCATAATAAGTGCTTAATAGAGACTTGTTGATTGATAGTAGGTACTTAATAAATGTTTGAATTGAATTCTTTTTGATTATGCTTCTCTCTCATCAAAGTACAAATACATTTTAAACAAATCTCTTTCCCATTAGCCAAGTATACAAATACTTGGAGCTATTACCAGGCATTGGCATTGACATTGATTTCTCAATGCCTTTCCTGATGGCTGACTGGAGGTATCAAGCATCAATAGGGGAGGTCTGTCTAGCTTCTCTAAGCAGATGAGTTGGCAGTGGGTGGGTACCTGAGAGAGGACACCAGGATAAAAAGAAGTTGCCCAAAGCCAGACCTGGAGATCTCAGTGATCTGAACTGGTCTAGCCTCTGGCTTGTGAGTGACACCCTTAAAAAGAGAGTTGGATTCCATCAATGACAGGCTTGCTTAATAAGGTCAGGCCTTCGTGGGCCAGGCTTTGTTGGGGGAGGGGGAGGAGGCGGGGAGGACCACTTCGGGCTCTGGTCACTTACCAAAGTTGCAGATGGATCATCGCTCTCCTGGCTGCAGACTCGATCTACATCTCTATGAACGTCTTGGGGATTGGAGGCTGGGAATTTGCTTAGGGTCTCTGGAGCCAGAAGGGAGTGAGCCCCTTTGCCCCTCTGTGCCAAAGATCTTTCCCCTAACCTTGGACTTGGGCTTCGAATCTCCGGGGGACTAGGGGACTTGAGCCAATCGGGGAGTCTAGGGGCTTCCCGACACCGGCCATAGTCGGAGAGGTCCAGGGGCTTGTCCAGGACATAATTCCGGCTCGTTTCCTCCTTCTCCCTTGCCTCTGAGCAGTCGCTCCCCACTAGGAGCAGAGGTCTCATAGGCTCTGCACAAGGCTCCCTGGGTGGATGCTTCTCTTCCTTCTGTGTCTCTTTTCCTCCGGAGTCTGCAGCCTGGTGGGGAGAAGAGGGCGCCTTCTCCTCCCGTTCCGCTGGAGCTGTATCTCGGTCTCTGGTGCTCTCCACCCGAGCTCGGAGCCCCCGAAGCTGCTGCTGGGCCAGGAGGTACTGCAGCCTCTCCCTTTGCTCCAGGAACTGGAGCGTGCCCTCCAGTCTCTGGTCCCGCATGTACACGATAGCTCCGGGCAGGTCTAAGAAGGCCGGGCGGTCCTCCCAGTCCTCCTGCAGTCGGCTCCGGACTTCCTCGCCCTCCCCGCCCTTCAGCCCACTCCTCGAAAAGCTCTGGGTCCCCGTGGGCGAAGAGCAGTGACTCCGGAGGCCGAAGCGATGCAGGGACAAGTGGCGGTTGAGAAGACAGAGGTGCTCACTGCGCGCTGTCAACTTTAGGGATTCATAGGAAGAGGCTGACTCTCGGGAATCCTGCTTGTTTGTTTTCATGTAGCTGAGCCGGGCACGGGGAGAAAAAGACAACACAGGGCAATTGACTAATCCGATGTGAGAACGACAAAAATGCACTTAAACCCCTCCGTTCTCAGTTTCCCCTTCTGTAAAGTGAAGGGGTGGGGTTTGGAGGATTTCCAAGATTCCTCCCACCTCTGACATTGTGCTTTCTGGTGGGGAGAACACTGCTTTGTATTATCTACCCTTGTGGTTCATATACGTTCAAAGCTGGAAGGGACCTCACAGGTCAACCCTCACATTTGACAAACCGAGGTCCAGAGAGATTAAACGACTTATTCAAAGTTATATACAAGTAATAAGCAGAATTTGAAACTAATCCTCTCTGACTTCAAGACCAGTACTTTTAACACTGTCATATCATATGCACCTGTATTCACTCCCTTTCTCTAGATCATCCTTCACAGGGCTGCCAGGCCAGGTCATGTCACTGCTGGAAAATATGCATTGAACAGAATTCTGAGAGTTTAGGTTTAGGAGTCAAGGAAGTTAGTACTTTTACCCCATAGTAGGAACCCGATGGATTTTCAATGAAGGCCCAACAAGCACATTAATGAATGTCCTCATCCTCCTAAATATTCTTTCACTTTAAGGTATGAGAAAAATAGTTGATAGTTTTTTTCTTTATGCCCATTGTAGTGGCCAGAAGGCTGGCATTGTAGTTAGGAAGCTCTAGTATCAAATCCTGTCTCTGACAAATACTGGCTATGTGTTGCAGGGTAAGTCACTTAACTTCTCAATATTACAGACATTTGTCTAAGACTGTATATAGTACAGAACAGTCACAAGTCTGAATCGCTGGAAGGAGTTTACAAACTAGATCTCTACCCTGATGAAATTTCAGGGTATTGCTATTGCCTTCCCACACATCCCACATCTGGAGTATTGTAAAATTATAGAATGTTAGATTACATGGGGAATATAGGGTGATCAGTTGCCACCTCCAAGTGTAACTTCTTTCTGGCTAGAATGCTTTCCTATTTCTTTTTTTCCCCCTCTTCAGGACCTACAGAATCCTTTAAGAATCAACCCTAAGACTCACAGAGCCTTTTCTATGAAGCCCTTAATGATCTCTCCCACCACTGAATTTTTACAGTACTTAGGTTTGTCCCATTCAGTAGGCACTTATTACCTAGAGCCTTTTATTATTAGCTCTTTTTGCATACTGGTGAGACTTGTTTCTTCAAGTAGACCTTGAAGTTCCTGAGGGCAGGGTCTCCATCTTCTCTTTCTACTCTCTTCCCCTACCACAGAACCTTGCACTCAATAAACATTGTTAATTGGTGTTAACTGGGTTTGCATTCTCTGTGCTTACCCCAATTGAGGGTTTTATGGACTTGAGGTTGTAGAAGCCATATGTTGGGCAAGTGGGATGGGGGAAACCAGCTTGCAAGTAAATTTTTGCCACTGAATACCTGTAGTGAGGAGCTAGATGCAGATAATTAAGAGTTGGTTCTATACAAAGGGAAAGAAAAAGGTTTTTTTTGGGGGGGGAGTGGGAATCTATTTACGTTCAACTCTCACTTCTGCCAATACTTTAATCTTTTCAAACAACTAATTATAGAAAACAAACATCTAGTTTCTGGTGACAGAGTTGGAGGAATGTAGAGCAACTGGAATGTTTGTTCCTATTGGGAATAGTTTTTACCTCAGATGTAATTTACATCTCTGCACCCCAGATGGATTCTACAGACATAATTTCCTTTTTTGTGTGTTTGTCCACCTTTCACAGGGGACCAAGCTCACAGGGAGAAGCCATCTGTTGCCTAGTGAGAACCAGCAGCCAGGGTTTTCTTCACAATTTAGTGCTTAGTTATGTTCTTTCTAGAATGAAGAATCATAGGATCAAAGGGATAGGGAGTAGACCTGTGATATCATTGGCAGAAGAAACTCCTGCCAATGCAGGTCAGACCTTCTCTGCAACTTACGGTGTTAGACAGTAACCTAGAGCATTGAGAACTTTAGTGGTTTACATAGAGTTGTATAGTCAATATGTGTTAGAGGGCAAAACTTATACATAAGTCTTCCTGGCTTTGAGTATAGCTCCACTATGACCCGATGCCTCTCCATATGATCATAGAAAAGGTAATAGAAGGTTAGAATTGGAAGGGACTTGGGAGCTCACCTAGGCCAAACCCCTCATTTTACAAATGAGGAAACTGAAGTCCAGAAAGAGGAAATGACCTTTCTGATGTAACATAATTGGTTAGCAAAATCCAGTGTGGAGGCAGACCCATCACATTGAAAACAGGCTCTTTCCTCAAGTGATGGGCATTTAAGTTGGTTACATGATGACAGAGTGAGCTTCTGTGCTCACCCAAAATTTCTATGTTAGTGTAAAACTCCCCAGAAGTAGCTGGAAGTGATTGAAGCCAGCTCAGCAGAGGTACCAATCTTTCTTTCAATCAACAAATATTTACTGAGCACTTCTTGGATACTCAGGTGCTATGGGTTAGACAAGAAAGGAGAATGGTCTGGGGCAGCTAGGTGTCACAGTGGATAGAGCACCAGCCCTGGATTCAGGAGGACCTGAGTTCAAATCCGGCCTCAGACACATAACACTTACTAGCTGTGTGACCCTGGGCAAGTCACTTAACCCCATTGCCTAGCCAAAAAAACAAAAAAACAAAAACAAAAAAAAAAAGAAAGGAGAATGGTCTGAGCATTTGGAGAGCTCACTGACTATTTGAGGAGAGAACTCAGGAAAGTAGTAGTAGTGCAGTGTAAAGAGTAGCAGAGTGGGGGAAGGGAGACTTGGGTTCTAACCTCAGCTCACATTCAGCCCTATTAATCTGGCCTCAAGAGATAGGAGAGCTCTGGGAAGGAGGGAGGTGAAGAAGGTAGTTCCCAGAAATCTTGAACAAGCTTGGTTTGATTTCGAGAGCCCTGATTTTAAAGGCTCAGACCATGAAGGGATAAACTTAAGGACAAAAGGGACAGTTACCCTGAGCTCCCAGGTGTCTAGAGCTCCAGAGGCCCTCTTGGAATAAGTGTGTGGTGAAGTGTTGGTTCTGCCTCTGATCTCCCTTCCACCAGTTTATTCATTCTTCCCCATCCCTTCCTCTGATCCCACTTCCAAACTCAGGCAGCTTCATTAGCATAGGGATTGATAGAAAACAGGGTGCTATCAGCTTAGATTTAGCTCAGACTGTGCAGCCCAGATGTCAGGTCCTGGGGGAGTGAACAGGGACTCCATCCCACCACAGGGATGGAAGCTTGGATCAGGGCTGGAATGGAGATCCCTGTTTAGGAGGATGGAAATGGTGGAGAATATGCTACAAGAAGCAACTTCTAGGGAGTTCCTAGGAATGACCAGTTCCTTCAACATTTCCTCCTGTGACCTTACTCCCCATTTGGACAGAGCAGCACTTCCTTCGAATGCTTGGCTTTCCCAATCTTCTCCCACCCCAATACTTCACCGTAACCCAGGTAGTTCCCATAGTTCTCTCAAATTGATTTCCAGAGAGATGATATTCTAGTTTGGTCTGGGCATTTGGGATAGCAACTGGACTGCTGTTCGGATGGGCCTCTCACTCTGGGAAGTATGTAGGGGAAGGCCAAATCCACTTCCTCACCCTGATTCACTCCATTTAATATATGGGAGGGGGTCCCTTTTGCCTGGGACTGTTTTTTCAGGGCTGTTTCAGGGCTTTCTTTTTTCTTAATTACAGGGTTATAGATTGAGATTGTATGTTATATATTATAGATTGAGGCTGGCTGACTTTAGAGTCATCTAGATGACCTTAGAGGTCAGTTAGTCCAGTTCCCTCATTTTGGACATAAAGAAATTGAGGATCAGAGAGGTTAAGTAATTGGTCCAAGGTCACACAGGTAGTAAATGGCAGAGTCGGGATTTGAACCCTGGTCTTCTGACCCATTGCTCTTTCTGATGTATCATGTTCTACCCCCAACTCAGATGTGATCTTCTGTGTGTGCTGAGGAGATTGAGGAAGGGGAGCTCCACTCACCTGTCCAGGGTATGGCTTCGGTCATAGGATGGGGATGGAGGGCTGCTTCTTGGCGGGGGTGGAGTAGCTGCTTCAGAAGAGTTTTTCTCTGAGAGGCAAGCCCTGGAGCCTGGTCTGACCACAGCAATGGTCCCATGCAGCTGATTAGAAATCCTCTGGGGATTCTGAAGAGAGGGAAGGTGAGAACAGCATCAGGGTTATAATATTCATTACACTTAAACAAGGGCACATAGTATCCTATGCAGATGTGCTCCAATTTAAACAACTCTGTTTCATGTATGTACGTATATATGGTTATTCACATTACACTACAAAAGATAGTAACCTACTCCTTACACTGCTGACTTAATAAGGGGCCCTGGACAATCATCTAACCTCACTGGCTCTCAGTTTTCTCATCTGTTAAATGAGGATAGTACCTGCTCTGTTTCTCTCACAAAGTTTTTGTGAGAATAAAATGTGAAATTTCTTTGAAAAGTACAAAGCTCTATAAAATGCAGGGTTTCATTATTAATACTGTTCTTTAAGTAGTAAGTTACTCACTGTATTTAAGTGTTTATTTGCAGATTACAATATCTTAGAATCATAGAATCTCAGAGCTGGAAGAGACCATAGGTATTGTCTAGTCCAGCCTGTACCCAAATAATGAATTATATCTGTAACATCCTTGGCAAATGGTTGGTCGTTCAGCTTCTGCAGGAAGACTTACAATAATATTCAGGACAACTGGCTGGAAATGTCCAATAGACAGCAGTTGGTGGGGTGGAATTAGAGCTCAGGACATAGATTAGGGCTGGATATAGAGGTCTAAGTCATTTATAAAGAAATGATAGTTGAACCTAGGTGAGTAGATACCAAGAAAAGGGGTATAGGGAGAGAAGAGAAGAGGAAAGTCCCAGGACACGGTGTTAAGTGGGAGCACACATGGTTAGGGGCAGAGACAAGGATGGAGATCTGGCAAAGGAGATTAATTTTAGGAGATTAGTAGTCAGAGCAGAGAGAGAGCAGTAGTCAGAACAGAAGTCAGTGTCATGAAAGCTGAGGGAAGAGAGAGTTTAGGAGTAGAGAGTGATCAATATTGTCAAGAGCTACAGAGAAAAAGTATAAGGGCTAAGAAAAGGCTGTGAGATTTAGCAATGAAGAGATCCTTGGTAAACATGGAAAGGGCAGTTGCATTACAGTGATGAGGTCAGAAGTCAGACTGCAAAGGGGTGAAAAGTGAGTGGAAAGGAAGTGATAGAGAGAAGTATAGATACTTTTTCTTTTCTAGGCATTTGACTGAAAGGGAGGAGAGACAGAGGACAGTATAGCTAGTTTCCAATTAGTGAGAAAAAAGAATCCCCAGAAGTGATCACACATATTTAAGTTTGCACTTTTCAAAATTATAATTATGCAAAATATGTTTATTTGTTCTAGCTCAGTGGAAATATTGGGACCTAAATGTGCCTTTCTATTTTAACTATTCTTGCTAATGTTAGGCCAGTTCAATTGGAGTCTTGGCTTCTAGCCTCTTCTTTTTACAATCCATCTTCCACATAGCTGTAACAATAAGCTTCCTAAAGCACAAGCCTGACTGCATCATTCCCTTCCTCCAGAATCTTCATTGGCTCCCTACTGCATTTAAGATAAAATACAAACTTCTCCATTTGATATTTAAAACCCTTCCCAATCTGACTTCAGCTTATCTTTCCAGGCTTATTTCATGTAACTCTCCTTCATACATGATATATTCCAGCTGGACTGGATTACTTGCTATTCCCTGATCTCTTCAGTCCATTTCCTACCTATGCACATCTATGTGTCTTTGTACAGGTTGTCCTCATCCTTTAGAAGCATCCTTCCTCGTCTCTGCCTCTTAGAATCTTTTTCTTGAAAGCTTAGCCAATATGCCACCTTCTACAGAAAGACTTTATCTATCTAGTCATTAATGCTTCTTCATTCCTTAAATAGCCATTTTTATATTTATCTATTTGCATTTTATATCCACTCCCCAGTAAAATGTAAACTCCTTGAGGACAGGGTATATTTTACATTTTGTCTTTGTTTCCTAAACCTCTACAACTGTCTTGCACCCAGTAGATGCTTAAGAAATGCTTGTTGGCTTGAATTGGATAGGGGAACTCATAATTTTTTTTAAAGCAGCTCATCCCAATTTAGGATAAGTCTAATAATTAGAATGTTTTCCCCCCACATTTATTTCCTAATAGTTTCTAACTATTACCTCTCATTTTATACCCTGGGGATAGGTCTAATCCATCTTCTATACGAATAGCCTTCAAACATTTGAAGATAAGCTCTTATGTCTACCACCTAAGCCTTCTCTTGTCTAGGCTAAACATCCTTTGTTCCTTCAAGTCATTTTTGTATGGCATGCTTTTGATATCTTAGTTGTCCTTATTGGGATATTCTATGTCTTGTCAATATCTTTGCTTAAATGTGATTCTTGCACTTATGGGTAAAGTTCAATGGGACTTTAACTTCACAAAATGTCAGAGCTAGACTTCCAGGAGCGAAGATGGCAGAGTAAGCAGTAAATTGCTGTAACTCTCCTATATTCACCTCCAAATAACCATAAATTAGCACCCCAAAACAAATCAAGGAACAGCAGAGCCAGCAAAAAGATGGGGTGAAATAATTTTTGAGCCCAAGAAACTTGGGAGATTGGCAGGAAAGATCTGTCTCACTTGGGTAAAAGGGGAGTGCAGTCCAAGACAGGAAGTGTCCCAGCAAGCCAGCAGCAAACCAGTGGGAGATCCTGAGCCCCCGTGCAGTGGAGCAGGCAAATGTCAACACCACGATCCCCACATACTTCAGGATACCCAGGGGAATGGGCAGACTCCAGCTCTGAGAACTGCCAGGTGCTTCAACATTGCCCTGGCAAACTGGCAACCTCTAGTGGCCAGACCTCCACATGCTTCAGCATGGCCCTGGGCAAACAGGCAGCTTGCAGGGGCCAGATGCTGCGTGCTTCAGTGTAGCCCTGGGGAAACACATGAAACACCCCATAGGCCTCGGCACATACCAGACACCAGCACTGGGACCCTGGCTCAGCACCAGGTAGGCTGCCAGACCCCTATGGCCACTAGCAGTGCCAGCACCCCCACCTCAGTCCAGCAGCAGACACGAGGGTCCCCCATGGGCCTCTGGGCAACATCAGTGCAGCACCAGGTAAACAGCCAGGCCCTGCGATCCCTGGCACAAGAAGCCTGAGACAGTGCCCCTTCCATCCTGTGGGCAGAGATCAAATTTAAAGGAAAGGAAAAAGGCCAAAAAAGATGAACAAAACAACAACAACAGAATCTGACCATAGAAAGTTATTTATGGCGACAGAGAAGATCAAGATGCAAACTTGGAAGAGGACAACAATGTCAAAACACCTATGGGCAAAGCCTCAAACAAAAATGGGAAGTGGCTTGAGCCCAGAAAGAACTAATGGCAGAGCTCAAAAGGGAGTTTAAAAATCATAAAATAGAGGCAGAAGAAAAATTGGGAAAAGAAATGATAGCGATGCAAAAGAATTATGAAAAAAAGTCAACAGCTTGGAAAAAGGAAACAACTGCTTAAAAAGTAGAATTGGCCAAATGGAAAAGGAGTTACAAAAATCCACCAAAAAAACCCAACTTCTTAAACACTGCCATTGGCCAAGTGGAAAAAGAAGTACAAATGCTAACTGAGGAAAACAACTTAAAAGTTAGAATTGGGCAAGTGGAAGCTAATGACTCTATAAGATATCAAGAATCAAACAAATTCAGAAGAATTAAAAAGTATAAGAAAATGTAAAATACCTTGTTGGAAAAACAACTGACCTGGAAAATAGATCCAGGAGAGACAATGTCAGAATCATTGAACTACCTGAAAGCCAGAATCAAAAGGAGGACCTTCACATTTCAAGAAATTATCAAGGAAAACTTCCCTGATATCCTGGAACCAGAGGGCAAAATAGTCATTGAAAGAATCCACTGATTATCTCAGGAAAGAAATACCAAAATAAAATCTCAAGGAACATTATAGCCAAATTTCAGAGCTATCAGGTCAAGGAAAAAATACCGCAAGTGGTCAGAAAGAAACAATTCAAATATTGGGGAGCCACAATAGAGATTACACAGGACTTACTAGCTGCAATATTAAAGGATCAGAGGTCATAGAACATGATATTCCAGAAGGCAAAGGAGCTAGGACTACAACCAAGAATCACCTACCCAGAAAAAGTAAGCATAATACTTCAAGGGAAAAAAACAGTCACTCAATGAAATTGAAGGATTCCAAACTTTCATAAGGAGAAGACCAGAATTGAACAAAAAAATGATCTCCAATAATCAAGACCCAAGACAAGCCTAAAAAGGGAAAAAAGGAAAATAAAACATAAGGGATTCAATGGAGCTGAACTGTTTACATCTGTACATGGGAAGATGATAATTGTAATTCTTAAAAATTGTACCACTAATAGTACATCTAAAAGGCATGGACATAGACAGAGGGAATGGGTATAAGGTGAATTTGAGGAGATAACATAAAAATAATTAAGGGATGAGAAAGAGGAGGAAGAATGGGGTTATTCCACATGAAAAGGCACAAAAAACCTCTTACAGTGGAGGGAAAGATGGGAGGGTGGGTGATGGGCATTGTTTAAACCTTACTCTCATCAGTATTGGCTCAAAGAGGGAATAATATACACAATCAATTGAGAATAGAATTCTATCTTACACAACAGGAAATAGGAAGGGAAGAGATTACATAAAGGGGGAGGACTGACAGAAGAGAGGGCAGGCTTGAGGAGGCAGTAGACAGAAGCAAAACACTGTCAAGGAGGGAAAGGGTGAAAGGAGAGAGAGAGGACAAACAGGAAGAAACATAGGGTGGAGGGAAATACAGTTAGTAATCATAACTGTGAATGGGATAAACTTTCTCATAAAGTGGAAGCAGATAGCAGAATGGTTAAAAAAACCCCCAGAATCCTACAATACGTTATTTACAAGAAACACCCTTAAAGCAGAGAGACACACACAAGGTAAAGGTAAGGGGCTAGAGCAGAATTTATTATGCTTCAGTTGAAGTGGAAAAAAAAAGCAGGGTAGCAATCCTGATCTCAGACAAAGCAAAAGCAAAAATAGACCTAATTAAAAGAGGTAAGGAAGAAAACAACATCTTTCTAAAAGGTACCATAGACAATGAAGTAACACATTAATTCACCAAGTGGTATAACATCCAAATTCTTAAAAGAGAGGTTAAGTGAGTTACAGGAAGAAATAGACAGCAAAATTATACTAGTGGGGGAGCTCAGAACTTGATAAATCCAACCAAAAAATAAACAAGGAAGAAACCATGGAGGTGAATAAAATATTAGGGAAAGTTAGATATGATCAGACCTTTGGAGAAAACTGAAATGGGAACAGAATAGAACTCTTTTTTTCCCTCAGCAGCACATGGCACATACACAAAAATTGACCATGTATCAAGGCACAAAAACCTCAAAATCAAATGTAGAAAGGCAGAAATATTAAATGTATTCTTTTCAGATCATAGAGCAATAAAAATTATATTCAATAAAGGGTAGTGGAAAGATAGATTAAAAATTATTTGGAAACTAAATAATCTATTTTTGTTTTTAGGCAATTGGGGTTAAGTCACTTGCCCAGGGTCACACAGTTATTAAGTGTCAAGCCTTTGGTCTGAGGCCAGATTTGAACTCAGGTCCTCCTGACTTCAGGGTCGGGGTCTATCCACTGTTCCATCTAGCTGCCCCTTAAATAATCTAATCCTAAAGTATAAAGGGGTCAAAGAACAAATCATAGAAATAATCAATAATTTTGTTAAAGAGAATGTCAACAATGAGAAAACATCTAAAAAATTATGGGTTGCAGCTAAAGCAGTACTTAAAGGAACATTTATTTCTCTAAATTCTTACGTCAACAAAATAGAGAAGGAGCAGATCAATGAATTAGGCATGCAGCTTAAAAAACTAGAAACAGTGCAGGCAGTGATGTGGCACAGTATAGATCATTGGCCCTGGAGTCAGGAGGACCTGAGTTCAAATCTGTTCTCAGACACTTGACACTTACTAGCTGTGTGACCCTGGGCAAGTCACTGAACTCCATTGCCTAGTTAAAAACCAAAACAAAACACTAGAAAAAGAACAAATTAAAAATCTCCAATTGAAAACCAAACTGGAAATCCTGAAAATCAAAAATGAGATTAATAAAATTGAAAGTGAAAAAAAGCCACTGAACTAATAAATAAAATAAGGAGTGGTTTTCTGAAAAAACAAACAAACAAACAATAAGATAGATAAGCCACTGGTTAATTTGGCTAAAAAAAAAAAGAAGAAAACCAAATATCCAGTGTCAAATATGAAAAGGGTGAAATCACCACCAACAAATAAATTAAAGTAATGATTAGGAAGTATTTTGCCCAATTATATGTCAATAAATCTGATTATCTGAATAAAATTGATGAATATTTATGAAAATATAAATTACCTGGATTAATAGATCAGGAAATAGAATGCCTAAATAACTCCATCTTAGAAAAAGAAATTGAACAAGCCATTAATTAACTCCCTAAAAAACCCCCCTGGACTGGATGGCTTCACAAGTGAATTCTACCAAACACGTAAAGAACAATTGATTCCAATACTATATATAAACTATTTGGAAAAATAAGTGAAGAAAGTCCTACAACACTCCTTTTATGACACAAATACGGTGTTGATACCTAAACCAGGAAGAGCTAAAACAGAGAAAGAAAATTATAGACCAATTTCTTTAATGAATATCAATGCAAAAATTTTGAACAAAATACTAGCAAGGCAATTTCAGCAATATATCACAAAGATTATGGTGGGATTTATACCAGGAATGCAGGGTTGGTTTGATATTAGGAAAACTCAACATAATTGACCATATCAATAACAAAACCAACAGAAATCATATGATTATCTCAAAAGATGTCAAAAAAGTTTTTGACAAAATACAGCATACATTCCTAAGAAAAACACTAGAGAGCATAGGAATAAAGGGAACATTCTTTATAATGGTAAGTAGTATCTATCTAAAACCCATCAGCAAGTGTTATCTGGAATGGAGATAAGCTAGAAGCCTCCTCAATAAGATCAAGAGTGAAGCAAGTATGCTCATTATCACCACTGTTATTCAATAGAATACTAGAAATGTTAGCTATAGTAATAAGAGAAGAAAAAGACATCAAAGGAATTAGAATAGGCAAAACTATCACTCTTTGCAGATGATATAATGGTATATTTAGAGAACCCTAGAGAATCAACTAAAAAACAACTTGAAATAATTAACAACTTTAGCAAAGTTGCAGTATATAAGATAAGCCAATACAAGTCATCAGCATTTCTTTATATGACCAACAAAGCCCAGCAGCAAGAGATAGAAAGAGAAATCTCATTTAAAATAACTGTAAACCATATAAAATACTTGGGGTGGGAGGATCTACCTGCCAAGACAAACCCAGGAACTATATGAACATAATTACAAAACACTTTTCATACAAATAAAGTTGGATAAACAATTTGAAAAATATTAATAGCTTATGGATAGGTTGAGCCAATATAACAAAAATGACAATTCTACCTAAGTTAATTTACTTGTTCAGTGCCATACCAATCAAACTACCAAAAATTATTTCATAGAGCTAGAAAAAAATAACAACAAAATGCATCTGGAAGAACAGAAGGTCAAGAATATCAAGGAAATTAATGAAAAAAAATACCAAGGAAGGTGGCCTAGCAATACCAGATCTCAAACTATATTATAAAGCAGTAACCATCAAAACTATATGTTACTGGTTAAGAAATACAATATTGGGTCAGTGGAATAGGTTAGGCATACAGGACACAGTAGTAAATGACCACAGTAACGTAGTGTTTGATAAACCCAAAGACCCCAGCCTTTGGGATAACTGGAAAACAATAGGGTACAAACTAGGTATGGACCAATATCTCACACCATATGACAAGATAAGATCAAAATGGGTACAAAGGGTGACATCATAAGCAAATTAGAAGAGCAAGGAATGGTCTACCTGTCAGCTCTACAGGGAAGGGAAGAATTCATGGCCAAACAAGAGATAGCGTTATGGAATATAAAACATAAATTTTATTATATTAAATTAAAAAACTTTTGCACAAACAAAACCAATGCAACCAAGATTAGAAGGAAAGCAGAAAGCTGGGAAACAATTTTTACAGCAAGTGTCTCTGATAAAGGCCTTATTTCTCAAAAATATATAGAACTGGTTAAATTTATAACAATACAAGCCATTCCCCAGTTGATAAATGGTCAAAGAATATGAATAGGCAGTTTTCAGATGAAGAAATCAAAGGCATATAGGCATACGAACAAGGGCTTTAAATCATTTTTGATTACAGAAATGCAAATTAAAACAACTCAGGTATCACCTCACACCTATCAGATTAGCTAATATGACAAAAAAGGAAAATGATAAATGTTGGAGAGGTTGTGGGAAAATTGGGACACTAATATACTGCTGGTGGAGTTGTGAACTGATCCAACCATTCTGGAAAACAATTTGAAACATGCCCAAAGGGCTATGAAACTGTGCATACCCTTTGATCCACCAATACCACTACTAGGTCTGTATCCCAAAGAGATCATAAAAAAAGGAAACGGACCTACATGTGCAAAAATATTTGTAGCAGCCCTTTTTGTGGTGGCAAAGAACTAGAAATTGTGGGATGCCCATCAATTGGGGAATGACTGAACAAGCTATGGTATATGAATATAATGGAATACTATTGTGCAATAAGAAATGATGAACAGACAGATTTCAGAAAAACCTAGAAAGACTTGTATGAACTGATAGAAAACGAACGGAGCAGAACCAGGAAAACATTGCACACAGCATCACCAACATTGTGTGATGATCAACTATGAATGACTCAGCTCTTCTCAGCAACATAATGGTCCAAGACAAGTACAAAGGACTCAAGAAGGAAAATGCTATCCATATCCAGATGGATGACTGATGGACTGAAGTATACTTTTTTCACTTACTTTATTTTTTTTTTTGAGTTTTTTTCTTTTGATATGTATCTTCTTTCACAACTGTGACTAATATGGAAATATGTTTTAAATGATAGTACATGTATAAGCTATATCACATTGCTACCATTTTCAGGGGAGGGGAGGGAGGGAAGGAGAAAAATTTGGAACTTAAAATCTTGTAAAAATGAATGCTAAAAATCATCTTGACATGTAATTGGGGAAAAAAAGACTATTAAAAATGTCAGAGCTAGAAGAGCTCTAGTCTAGTTCCTGACAATTTACAAGTAAAAGAATTGGGACATTCTAGAATCCATGCTTCCTGACTCCTAGTGGTGTAGTAGATAGAGCTATCGGACTCAGAATGGAGAAGACCTGAGTTCAAATTCTGCCACAGACACTTACTAGCTATGGGACCCTGGCAAGTCACTTGCTTCTTTCAGAGTCAGTTTCTTCATCTGTGAAATGGCACAGTTGTTGTGAGGATCAAATGAGAAATATGTAAAGTGCTATGAAAATATTAGCTATTATTATTATTACTATTCATTCCACTATGTCACACTGCCTCAGTCTAGTTCAGTCCTTCATTTAGACAACAAATAATTAGAGCACCCAAAATGTACAAGAATTTGTGTAAAATGCAGAGTAGACAAAGTTGAATAACCCTCTCAAGTTACTTACTCTTTTGTTGGTCTCCCTAACGGTTCTTTTAGAACAACTGAATTAAGAAATCTAATTTAGTTAACTTCCATTATCTGGAGCAGAGCTACGGCAGAGTTACCCTTGAGAGGGTTTCATTTAGGGGCTGGTTCTAACAACAATTAATAGTATCTAGGGATTATGAGGGCATTCTGTGTGTCACCATCTTCCCTACTGGTCATGTGGCACACTGTGGGTACAGCTGTCTTAGACAAAAAGGATGGGCTTCTTGGAGGATGAGGCCATCTAGAGAGACCTTTTAGCTCTGGGGAAGGTAGCTATAGATGATGGCTTTGAAAACAGGGCTCCATTTTGCTTTGATCTAGTCCAGAAAAAAAGACATGACTCCAAACTTTCCAAACCTCACCATGTCCAGAACTCGCTGCTCCTGAAGGTTTGTCCCAGGAGGGATTTTAGGGATTGGAGAAGTCTGGTACCCTGTTGACTTTTCTGTTTTTAAGAAAGAAAGAAAGAAAAGGTCAGAGAAATTGATGGAAGAGGGTCTCTGAGTTTCTGGGGTGTGTGTGTGTGTGTATGTGTGTGTATGTGTGTTTATAACTAGTTACACCTGGGATTTTATTTTGTTCTCCCCAGTGCTGCTAAATTAATGCATTTATGTACTGGACTTCTCATGGATTCTGTGTAGAGGAAGTGGTTTTGCTGGGCAAAAATTTGCTAACTGAAACCTCTCTCTCCTTCCCACCAGTTGCTCAAATCTCCAGTGGGATAGAAATTGTGAACTTAACTGAAAGGAAGGAAGCTCCCTTCCCATGTGCCTCTCCTGCCCTGGAATCCTGCCCATTTCACTTGATGCCCTTCCTCAGACTCTGTGTGCTCCCTCTTTCTTGGCCCTCTCTGTTCCATGGTCCACACTGTACCTTCTCCTAGGGGAGTGTGGGGAAGATAGTCCTCCTCTGTCTCCCGGCTTGGTGGTGGTTTCTCCGTGCTAGGCTTGCGCCCTCCTGGGGATAGTAAGGGCACAGGTGAATCTGGACTGGAGCTGCTTTCCCTGGACATAGCCTTGTGGTGCTTGGGTCTGTCTCTGGGATGGGAGAGACAGAGAGGAGTGAGGATGATGCCAAACCACCACGGCGGGATTGATGAAGGGAGACCAGCCTTAAGTCTAAGCATAGTCAGGGAACCCATATATGGCATGGTTTAGGGTTGCTGGGAAGGCACATCTGCTTGCAAAGGTCATAGGATCATAGGGTTTTAGGTTTAGAAAGGATCACAGGGAATACTAATATAATTGTCTCAATTTATAGATGAAGTAGCTGAAGGCCTGAGAAGTAAAATGATTTACCCAAGGCAGGGTGGTGGCACAATGGATGGTGCCCTGGAGTCAGGAAACCCCCAGTTCAAATCTGGCCTCAGACACTTACTAGTTGTGTGACCCTGGGCAAGTCACTTAAGTCTGCCTCAGTTTCCTCAGCTATAAAACAGGGATAATAATAATAGTACCTACCTCCCAGAGCTGTGGTGAGAATCAAATGAGATAACATGTATAAAAAATGCTTAGCACAGTGCCTGACATAGTAGGTACTATATAAATGCTTATTCTCTTCCCAAGATCACACAGGTATTAAGTGGAAGAACCAGAATTCAAACCTAGGTTTTCTGACTCTAAGGCAAATACTCTTTCCGCTATATGCTATACTGCTAGCTCTACTGCTTATGATTTTGGACAAATAACTTCATCTCTCAGACCCTCAGTTTCCTTACTTGTAAAATAAAGAGTTTGTGATAGAGAGTTCTTAAGTTCCCTCCCCCCTCTAAAATCCCATAATCCTAGGAAAAAGCCCAATAAGTTTTTCTCTCAATGGTCCATGAAATCCCACCATGCGAGTTTAATTCTTTAGGGTTAAGCACTTCCCTCCCTAGGTCCTCTTTTAAAATGTAAGTGCTCGCCTCCCTCCAAATGAATCTTAGTTTCCTCATCTGAAAAATGGGGATAGTGTTTGCAGGGTTTTTGTGAGAAAAGCACTTTGTTAACCTTGAAGTGCTCTAGAAATATGAGTAATTATTACTTCTCTTATAGGGAGAGACATTGGGCCTGTAATTTAATTGAAATAGGCAACTCTGAGGTGAGGAAATTCCCTCTAGCACTGCAGGTTGGCACCTTATCTGCAATTTATAGCTGTAGAGTCTTAATCTTACTGTTTAGCAGGCCCTGATGGGGAACCAGATGAAAATATGATTGGGAAAAAATTAACAAAATCAATAAAAATACAATAAAACACAGATGGTGTTATTATGTGGTTTTCTAAGTCAATAGGCAGCTGTAAGGGATCCTTATGAATAGTCAGTGGTCCTTGTTTCTATTTGAGCTTGGCATCACTGTTCTGGACCAGTGGTGTCAGATAGAAACTAATCCATGCATAAGTATCTCTGCAGTTGACTTAGTTTTAAAATGTAATGTTATCTATATTTTATTGTATTTTAGTTTATTTTGTTAAATGTTTCCCATTTACATTTTAACCTCCTTTGGTGGCATCTGCCTGTTTGACACTTCTGGTCTAGAACACTGAGAAATGACTTGTCCTGGGCCATACAGCTACTATGCGTCAGAGGGAGAACTTGAATCCAGGTCTTCCTGGTCCCAAGGCTTGCTCAACTTATGTTACAGTAAATTGCCTCTCACTATTATTATTTTTGCTGTTGTTTTTCAGTTGTTTTGAGTCATATCCGACTCTTTGTGACCCCATTTGGGGTTATATTGGTAAAGATATTGGAATAGTTTGCCATTTCCTTCTCCAGCTTATTTTACAGATGAGGAAACTGAGGCAAATAGGGTTAAGTGCCCAGGATCATGCAACTAGTAAGTATCTGAGGCCAGATTTGAATTCTGAAAGATAGTCTTCCTCACTCTAGGCCTGGTGATCTGTGCGCTAGGGGGCCACTAGCTGCCCATTACTATTATAGTTCTAACAAATTAATGGTTAATGGCAGCTGAGTGGCACCACCTTTTCCCCCTCCATGGGAATGACGTGATTGGGGAATTGATTCCCAAGATAGTGGTGCGGGGCTCGTTTGCCTGGACGTTGGTGGGGTAGAGGAAAGGTGGCTCAGTCAGAACTCACTCCAGGTTTCGAAGTCTCTTCAACTCTTCCTTCAGAGCTTTATTTTCTTCCTTTAGCCCGTTCATTTCATTAGCTATGAATAAACAGGAAAAAGATCAGCTTGGCTTGGGGAAGCATGAGAAGTGGAGGAGATCTGGGCCTGTCTGCCTCAAGAAGTAAACTGCCCCTGTGTGAATAGTCAGATACCTTGAGAGGGGCCATCACTGTCTGCTCTGGTTCACTTGCCAGAAAATATGACAGCAATATCCCCTAAATAAGCTCTTAGGGCACTATGGGGGAAATTAGTCCCTCAATGGGATATGGTCACAGTTTCCATATTTATAAAATGGGGTGTTGTGGTGGATAATATTGGGCTGAATTTTCTTTTCTTCTTTGCGTAATAAATCACGTCAAATGGAGGGAGCCAGCGGTTGGGAAGGATTCCCAGGGGTAAATAGTAATTTCAGTGAAGGAAGGTGTGTGTGTTAGTGGGGAGGGTTATAGAAGATAGGACTCACAGAATCGTAGAGGTGGAAGTGACCTGGAGGTCATCTACTCCAGCTTTTACTCATAGTTCCCTCCCATCTCTATCTATTGAAATCCCTGCTATCTTTCAACCCCGACTTCAATGCCACCTCCTCTATGGAGCCTCCCTTGATCCTCCCAACTAGAAATGATCTGTTCCTCCTTTGAAGTGTACTAGCACTCATTTTTGCCTTTCCTATGGACTCAACATGGTCTACTTTTATTATAGTTTTATGTGTTGATGTCTTATCCCCCTGACTTTGCTGGGTGCTCCTTGAGACCGGACTCATAACTTTTATTGTCTTTCCCCTAAGCGTTTTTACCCATTTTGGATGTGAATATCTACCTCCCGGAGAGTCTAGGGGCCCAGGGATGCTGAAAAAGTACAGTCACAGAAACAAGATGAACACGACTCAGGGACAAGAGTCCAGCATCCAACTGGCTTCCTCTTATTTATCGGTTTTTCCACAAATGCTCTACAATGTGCACAAGACACTCCCATGCTCATGTGTACATGCATGTTCATATGCACACATACATATATATGTGGACGCACAGACAGGAACACACTCACCTGTTCTCACACGTCCATAAACCGCATCCCTCCTAGTCATGCAGGCATAGGTGTACGTACACATACACAAGTTGTTGTTATTCAATCATGTCAGTCGTGTCTGACTCTTTGTGACCCTATTGGGGTTTTCTTAGCAAAGATACTGGAGTGGTTTGCCATTTCCTTCTCTAGCTCATTTTACAAATGAGGAAGTGAGGCAAACAGGGTTAAGTGAGTTGCCCAGGGTCACACAGCTAGTAAATGTGTCAGGTCAGATTTGAACTCATGAAGATGGGTCTTCCTGATTCCAGGCTCACACTCTATCCACTGTGCCACCTAGCTACCCCACACATACACCCACAAACATACATGCACATGGTTATTGAAATTGTATGCATACTGACAATATTACATATTTATGCGTATACATATATATAAAATGCTTTATATTCATGATTTTTTTTGAACCACACAACAGCCCTGTGAGGTGTGTGCTACAGGGCGCTCCATTTTACAGATGAAGAAGCTGAGGTTCAAAGAGATTATGTGATTTATTCAGGTTCCCACAGCTACTAAGTGGCAGAATTTGAATACAGGTCTTCCTGACTCCACATCCGACTATCTTTGTACCACACTCTACTACCTTTCTGAAAATGAACCCTTATATAAGCACAAACATTGAAAACATGCCACAAATGTAAATTTATCTACAAGCATACCCTTACTATACAGTCCTGCATACTCATAGACACAGAGTCACATGCCCTTCAACAATCATGTATACACATACATGTATGCACACTCACACATACATACATGTGCATATTTGTACTCATACACACAGGCATACATTCTCATGCATACACTGACATACATAGCCATACCCTTACACACATGTTCATCGACATGTGCATTACAGAAATTTTTCTTTTTCAACCGAGACTTTTCAGGGAAGCATAAAGTCGTGACTTCTATGGCAGCATTCTTAAACTGTGGGTTGTGGTCCCATGAGGTCGCTGAAGGGGTCTCAAGTGGAAAAAGTTTAAGAAGCCCTGTTCTATGGATTACCGGGAGAACTGTCAGGAGTTGAGAAGATTCAGTCGTTTCTTTTACTTCTCACACCCTGAATATGAGGTTCTTTTTCCAGCTGACCCTCCTGGGAGTTTCTTCTCAGCCTAGGACAGAGCTTCTCAGCTGCCCAGGGAACCTGCATAAGCATCTCCTTACCTTTGCCCCTCTTCAGCAAGGGCTTTCTCAAAACACATCATTCACCTTGAAGCATTACACATTTATCAGATCAGGTAGGAACTGAGTGCCTTTTAAAGCTGGAGCTTTGAAGGACTTTTTTCTGGTCCCTGAATCATCTAGACTCTTGGCTAGAGAAATGTCAGATGGACAGAGGGGAGCCCAGTAAAGGTTGAAAGCAGCCCTTGGGGTACTTTTCAGAAAACGCAGAAACCAGAAAGCTTCTAGGAAGGTTGGTTGAGTGCTGAAGTGGTTTTCCTAAATCACGGGTCTGACCAATATAACTCTCCTACTCAGTGAGTTCCAATGTCTCCCTATTGCATCTAGAGAAAAACAAATTCCTGTTTGACATTTAAAACGCTTGAGAACTTAGTCCCAACCCATCTTTCTGGACCTGGTGTATATTACTCCTTTTCCCACACTCTACAGTCCAGTCAAAATGGCCTTTTTGCCATTCGTCACGTATCACATTCTATGTCTCACTTCTGTGCCTTTGTATAGGGTGCTCCCCTCCCCCTCATGCCTGGAACGCCCTCCTTACTCACCTCTGCCTCTTAGAATCCTTTATTTCCTTTAAAACTCAGCTCAAGGACCATTTTCTACATGAAGTCTTTGCTGAGCCTCCCCCACCCCCAAGACCCAGCTCTGAATGCCCTCATTCCAAAAGTGTTTTGTGTTTATTTCATGTAATCCCATATGTGTGTATATATGTATACATACATATATATACATACACACATACATATAGATACACACACACACACATATATACTTGTTTATGTCCACAAAATTGGAATATAAATTCCTTGGGGGTAGGGACAGTTTCATTTTTTCATTTGTATCTCAAGTCCCTAGTACAGTGTCTGGCACTTAATGAACACTTTCTGATTACTTGAGCGCTTGACTTACTGAGAATGAAGATGTGCTGCAGGCTCTGGAGATGGGAATTCTCATATTCATGCTGTTTCTTCTTGGCCAGCTCCTGAGTCACCATGCATCGGTCACAGAGGCCGGCCCTCAGCCTGAAGTGAGATAGCCACTTAGCTGCTCGCCTCTGTACCAAGGCTGTTCCCTTTCCTCCCTCCCTTCTCACATCTGGCCCATTGGAGGCACCTTTGTCCATGGCCATTTGGGCCTGGGAGGAATCCTAGGTTGGGAAAACCTAAATATAGTTTGGAACTGGAAAGGTGCCCGGAGTGTGCCATGCTCAATTTTGGGTTGTGTTTTAATTCAGAAAGAGGAAGGCAAGAGATCAGAGGAAACCTCTCTGGATAGGTTTCCGTACTTTATATTATTATTATTGTTGTTGTTGTTGTTGTTGTTATTATTATTATTTTTTGGTGAGGCAATCAGGGTTAAGTAACTTGCCCAAGGTCACACAGCTAGTATGTATCAAGTGTCTGAGGTCAGATTTGAACTCAGGTCCTCCTGACTCCAAGGCCAGAACTTCACCTAGCTGCCCCTCCTCACTTTATATTCTACACGTGTTCCTGAAAAGTTGAGTTTAAATGGAATTTTTGTAAAGTGGATCCTATTTTAAATACAACCAGAGATTTCTATGAAAAATACTCTTACAGGGATTCTGTTTATATTCTGGCAGTCCTAATCAATGGAGAGAGTATGGTACAACTGGACTTGAGCTTTACTTCTGTGCCTGCCATTTACTATCTGGGTGTTTGGGCAAATGACTTCACCTTTCACAGCCTCATCTATGAAACAGAAATCATCCTACTTGAACTACCTACCTCACAGAGTGGTTGTAAGGGTCAAGTGAGACCATGTATGTGTTAGCAGTTTGAAGAGTGGGACAGTGTAAAATACCTGAAGTACTATATAAATGATTTCTAGAGAGCTTGATATGTAGGATAATAACTGTAAGCAATAATTAGAATAACCTCTGTTTGGTTGATAAATTTGGATTTTCATTTATGAGAATTATTGGAGAGAGCCCTGAATTAAGAATCAGGAGACCAGAATTCTAGTCCCTTCTTGACTGACAAGTTGCGTAACCTTGTGCAAATTGTTTATCTTTTGGTATATTAGTTTCTTCATCTATAAAAAATCTGTAATAATTCTAGTATCCTCACAGGGGGTTAGTAGAGAATTATATACGGATGGGGCAGAACTTTAAAAATGCTAAAGCTCCATACAAAGGGGAAGCATAAAATCACAGATTGTTAGAGCTAGAATGGTCTTAGATTATGGCTATATATTTATTGTTCACTTGTTTTAGTTGTGTCTGACTCTTCATGATCTCATTGGAGTTTTCTTGGCAAAGATATTGGAGTGATTTGTCATTTCCTGCTCATTTTACAAGTGAGGAAACTGAGGCAAACAGGGTTAAGTGACTTGCCTAGCGGCACATGACTAGTGTCTGAGGCCAGATTTGAACTCAGGAAGATGAGTCTTCCTGACTCCAGGTCTGTCATTCTATCCACTGAGCTACTAAAGTGGGGCTCACCAGTGCTTTTGAAAGACTCTGTATTCTTGGAATCCTTTAAATGAGGCATAATTCCCAAGTTATGTTCTATTCCTAACAAAGGGAGAGTTATTCCAGGACCCGGTGGGGGGCTGCCTGTTCTGCCAGGCAGGACTTACCTGTTCTCTAATACCTTAACATTTTCCTTCAGGGCTTTCTGCTGTTCCCGAAGCTGGTGGTTTTTGGCAAATAGCTCTTCAATCCTCTGGGCATCTCTAATTCAAGAAACAAGGAGGAGACAATGAAAATGACCCTTTGCCTTTAGCAGGGAAAATTTCCAAGTCAGAGGTTTGTTAAAGTTGGCCTGGATAGGGGAAGGGCTGAAGGCAGGGGAATACCAGCTAGGAGGCTATCACAGTAGCCCAGGTGAGAAGAGATGAAGGCCTGACTTGGAATCAGAGAATCACAGGAGTTTTTAATTGGAAAGGATGGTAGAGCCCATCAGGATTAGAGGGAGGATAGCGAGGAAGGTGAGGAGGGAATGAATGAGGGAGCTATTTCCAAGAAAGCATGCATAGGACTTGGTGACTGTGAGAATGTGGTAGATGAAGGGGAAGGTGGAGTCAACACTGAATCGGAGGAAGCTTAGTATAATGGGCAACTAAAGGCACAGTGGATAGAGCTGTGGGCCTGGAGTCTGGCCTCAGACACTATCTGTGTGACCCTGGGCAAGTCACTTCACCCTCTCTGCCTCAGTTGTCTCATTTGTAAAATGAGCTAGAGAAGGAAATGACAAACCACTTCAATATCTTTGCCAAGAAAACCCCTAATAGGGTCATGAAGAGTTGGAGGCTACTGAATAACAACAACAAATTGTATAATGGAAAGATCACTGTTCTGGTAATCAGAGGATCTGGGTTCAAATCTTGGCTGTGCCACTAGCTTGCTGAATGACTGTAGCCCAGTTGCTTAGAATCATTGGATGTAGAGCTATAAGGGATCTTAGAAAGTGTTTAATTCGATTGACATGGAGAAAGATTAAGTGACTTGCGCCAAGTCAGCAGAAGGTAACTGTCAGGGCCAGGTTGTCTGACTTTGCATCTAGGATTGCTGCTACTATGCCGCAGCTGCCTTTCCTTAACTTTACTACTGGTCCTCAGTTTCTTCATTTGGAGAATGAGTAGATTGGAGCAGATAATATCTAAGGTCCTGCCTTACTTAGACATTCTATGACTTCTATACGGTCCATTCATATGAAGGATGGACTATTTCCAATTTGCAAAGGTTGGTTTGCTTCCTCTGCTCTCCCATCTCTGTGGTTCTCTTCCCTTCATGGGTGCTATTATGAGTTTGGTACCCTCAGCCTCCATTTTGAGTCATAAAACTGAGGGACCAGCCATCAACTCCAAGGGAAAAAGCTCAGTATCCCATAGGCTTTGTATATCTCCTGGGGCTGGGTCAGGCTCCCTATAATAGAAAGGGTTTTTGCCAAACCCTGACAAATATTTCCTTGGAAGATTTCCTCTGGCTCCTTAGAGAGAATACCAAGGTTCAGCCCATTCAGCAATGGGGCCCCCTGTTCTGTTGAACTCACCGGCACTTCTCTGTGTTAAGCTCCAACAATTTGTTCTGTAGCCCTGTGAGAGGGAGAGGATGTTAGGATGCAGAGCATTCTATTTTAGAACCAAGACACCATTTATTAAGTGTATGGGCACCTTATCTGGCACAAGGGTGTGGAAATGAAGCTCCATGGTCCTCTTGTGGGGGGAGCTCTACTGGAAAAGGGATGGTAGAATTTCAGCAGTGAGCAAGGGCCTTTCCTGACTGTCTTTAACAATGAATTGCTGTGGTCTCCTATCAAGGCCACGTCTGGGTATTTCCAGAGCTCCAGAGCCCTCCCTCGCCACCCATGTACTTATCTCTCCAGCCCTGGTACTCAGGGAGACACCTTGGTACAGTGGTAAGGGCTCTGAATTTGAAGTCGGAAAATGTGGGTTTGCATTTGCTAGGTAGCTCAGTAGACTGAGCTGCTTGGAATCAGAAAGACCATCTTTGAGAATTCAAATCCAGCCTCAAACATTTATAAGCTGTGTGAGCTGGGGCAAGTCACTTAACCCTGTTTGCCTCAGTTTCTTCATCTGTAAAATGAGCTGGAGAAGGGAATGGAAAACCATTCCAGTATCTTTGCCAAGAAAGCTGTAAATGGGGTCACGAAGAATTGGACATAAGTGAAACGACTGAACAACAAAATTCTGACTCTGTCACTTGCTACGATGACCTTGGGAATAAACACTTAATATTTCTGGGCCTCTGTTTCCTCATCTGAAAAATGAAGGGTTTGGATTAGGTGGCTCCTGAATCCTTCCAGCTTTAAGTCTATAATCCTATATCTTCCCCAGGGGAAGGAGACGCCTCAACAGAGTAGTCCCTCAGTGTGCACCAGTACCTCTGGGCCCAGGCTTCCTGCACACTTATCCTTTCAGTCCTAACCCCTTATCCCAGGGTAACCTGAGTGTTGTTCCTACCCAAACTACTGCTACAATTCAGGGATGGAGGGAGACCTACACAAGGAGGCTGTGTTCTCTTGTCGCAGGAGAACTGTTTATTCTAAAACCAACAAATGCACTTTGTGAGAGGTTGGCTTGGGGGTCCCGTCATTTACACTGCATATGACATGGGTATCCAGAGCCTTCTTTCAGCCAAGGATCATAGGAACATCCCATGGTACACTTAGAAGGTTCTAGTCCTAAAGACTGCATAGCCCACCCTGTGGCCTTGCCCTTATCTCCCTGGAGGCTGGGTCATACCGAGGACTTCTTTCTCATGGACGTCCTTCAACTTGTTCAAACATTCAGCGAAACTGTCCATGGCTGGGACTTGGGTCCTTCTTCTCCCCACTCTTCTTGTGGCAGGTGGAACTTTCTCCTTGGGTCTTATCTCATGTTAGTCTCTGACCTTAAAAAAAATAGTCATTACATATAGAGAGTTTGAGGGGCAGTAGTGAGGGAGCCATGCAGAACCCAAATGGACTTTTTCTTGACTTCATATGAAATTAAATATAAGAATCTGGACAGAGGAAATAATCACTTTTCTATGTGGTAGTCAGCAAAGGTTTCTGGTAAATTATGGCCCTCTAGCCAAGCCTCTCTACTTAGGCAAAGTGAAATGAACAGTGAAATCTACTCCCAAGGCCTTACTGCTCCTTCCTAACCCACCCCCCTTTCCCCCAAACACCCCCCCCCACTCCCCTGCCCCAGTGTAATGAGTGCAATACTGAAATTGGGAGTTTACAAGCTCTGGCTTCAAATAGGAACTTAAAAAATATAACCTGTGTGACCACAGGCAAATTCCTTTAGTTTCTTCAGTTTTCCCTCTTTAAAATAAAAGGGTTAGACTCTCATCTTTTTTTTTTTAGCTCTAAATGCTATCTTTCCATGATTCTCTGATCCAAACCACAATTTCTACCAAGCTTTCAGATATGTTATTGGCTGAATACAAAGAGGACAGATCTGACAGCTGGGCTTGTTGGCATGATAAATTTTGTAGATAGGAGAAAAGGCATTCCCTGTTTTTTAGGCATTGAGAATGAACACACACACACGCACACACACACACACACAGAATCATTTAAAATTTCTGTCACCAACCTTAGCTTGCCATGACTTATGGTTGATTTATTTGTTTGATGTTCTTAATTCCACAACAGAGTACAACAGGCTTGTGACTTGGTTGTTGAACCTAATTAACTTGTGTTTAACAACACACACACGGCAACTTATGAAATCTTTTTTCAAGGCTCGTTTTGGAAACTGACATTGAAGTAATGCCAAATGAAAGCTGATTTATGTGGGATACTGTTTTCCAAGAGAGGGGATCATTTTGGACTGGTTCTGATCTCATTGTGGCCATTTCTTTATTCATGCATCTAGCCATTTATTGGACGAAAAATTATCGAACACCTTCCGTATGCCCAAATTGATGCTCCTGGATGTAAGAGAGTCAGGAGAAAAAGATGTAATCCCTGCCCTCAGGGAGCTCACATCTAGTAGAGAAAGACATGGTTTAGTAGAAAGAGCTTTGCAACTGGCCCCAAGAAATATAAATTTAAATCTTGGCTCCGAATATTTAAACAAAAACAAAACAACGCTCCGCCTCTTAAAAAAACCCAACCAAATAAGCAAAAACAAAATCATGTTACCCTGGGCAAGTCACTTAACTTACTTGTTATAGCAGATGGAGAACTGAACTTGAAGTCCAGCCTGAGTCCAGGAAAACATGGATTTAAATCCTTCTTCAGTCACTGACTAGCTATATGACTTTTGGAAAGTCATTTAACTACTCCCTGCCTCAGTTTCCTTATCTACAAACAAAGGGATAATAAGAACACCTATCTCACAGATTTGCTGTGATGATCAAATAAGATAATGTATTTGGGAACCTTAAAGTACTCTCTAAATCCCAGTTCTCCTTATAAAGAGGTTAAACGTGTTGTCTAGAGCCACTCAAGTTAGAAAACAAAGATGGGAAAAAGAGATAGATCAGACTGAGTATCCCCAGAGGAGTTCTATGCTGGAGGTGCCATGGTTTTGAGGGAATTGAGGGGTTGAATGACAACATGGCTGAAAGATATTTGGAAACAATTGATGATATTATTATTACAAAAAAACCAAGATGATATAGAAAATATCAATAACTACTGACCCATAATCCTACTTTCCTATCTCTCAAAAAAACCTTTGTAATAATAACTGACATGTATCTGGAGCTTCAGAATTTGCAACCCACTTTATAAACATCTCTGTTGAGAATCACAACAGATCTATGAGGCAGGTACATCAAACATTATTATCTACGATGGTCATTGTTATTGCCAAATCCCCAATTGCCCATGGTCACATGGCTTATAAGTATCAAAGGTAGGAGTATAATGAAGATCTTCTTATCTCTGAGTCTAAATATCTATTCTTTCTACCACCTTGCCTCTCCTTTAGCAGATGAATCTACATGTGCATTGAGGTTTTTTAATTAATTAATTTATTTTTAGTTTTCAACATTCACTTTCATAAACTTTTGAGTTTTAAATTTTCTCCTCCTCCCACCCCAAGACAGTGTGCAATCTGATATAGGCTCTAAGCATATATTCCTATTAAAGATATTTTCACATTAAGTTATGTTTTAAAGAAGAATTAGAACCAATAGGAGAAACCATAAGAAAGAAGAAACAAAACAAAACAGAAGAAAAAAAAAGAAGAGCAAATACTATTCTTTGAACTGTATTCAGACTCATAGTTCTTTCTTTGGATGTGGATAACATTTTCCATCATCAGATTTTTGGAGATGTCTTAGATTCTTACATTGCTGAGAAGAGCTAAGTTTATCAAAGTTAGTCATCGCACAGTGTGACTGTTACTGTGTACAATGTTTTCCTGGTTCTGCTCACTTCACTCAGCATCAGTCATACAAGTCTTTTCAGGTTTTTCTGAAGTCCACTTGATCATCATTTCTTACAGCACAATAGTATTCCATTATATTCATATATTACAACTTGTTCAGCCATTCCCCAATTGATGGACATCCCCTCAATTTCCAATTCTTTGCCACCACAAAAAGAGCTGCTATAAATATTTTTGTAAATGTGGGTCCTTTCCCCATTTTTGTAATCTTTTGGGGATACAGCACTAGAAGTGGTATTGCTGGGTCAATGCCCTTTGGACATAGTTCCAAATTGCTCTCCACAATGGTTGGATCAGTTCACAACTCCACCAACAATACATTAGTGTTCCAATTTTCCCACATCTCCAACATTTTGTCATGTTAGCCAATCTGATAGTTGTGATGTGGTACCTCAGAGTTGTTTTGATTTGCATTTCTCTAATCATTAGTGATTTAGAGAATTTTTTCATATGACTATAGAGAGCTTTAATTTCTTCCTCTGAAGACTTCCTGTTTGTATGCTTTGACCATTTCTCAATTGGGGAATGACTTGTATTCTTATAAATTTGACTTAGTTCTCTATATATTTAAGAAATAAGGCCCTTATCAGAGACATTGGTTGTAAAAATTCTTTCCCAGTTTTCTGCTTCACTCCTAATCTTGGCTGCATTGGCTTTGTTTGTGCAAAACCTTTTCAATTTAATGTAATCAAAATTGTCCATTTCACATTTCATAGTGTTCTCTATCTCTTGTTTGGCCATAAATTCTTCTGTTTTCCATAAATCTGACAAGTAAACTATTCCTTGTTTGATTGAGGATATTTTTTCTGAAAGTGTTAGAAAGATATTAGGTAGACTTTAAAAATAATATTCCATAGCAGATCCACATCTTTTCAGTGATACAATCAATTGAAAGCTGCAGGTATTACTGTATTTATTCTCAGTTGGCTTCAAAAAAAAATTGAGAAGAGCAAAAGTACTCTTCTAGGGGCAGCTAGGTGGCACAGTGGATAGAGCACCGGCCCTGAAGTCAGGAGGGCCTGAGTTCAAATCTGGTCTCAGACCAAACACTTGACACTTACTAGCTGTGTGACCCTGGGCAAGTTATTTAACCCCAATTGCCTTAAAACAGTTGTCCAATCCCCTAAAAGTACTCTTGGGGCAGTTAGGTGGCACAGTGGATACAGCACTGGCCCTGGAGGCAGGAGGACTTGAGTTTAAATATGGCTCAGATATGTAACATTCACTAGCTGTGTGATGCTGGGCAAGTCACTTAACCCCAATTGCCTCACCAAAAGAAAAAAAAAGTACTCTTCTAACAAGGTGTCATATACATATATGTATATACATATACATACATACATACATACACACACACACACACACACACACACACACACATATATATATGTATGTATGTATGTATATATGACATTGATTAAGTGACTTGCCCAGCGTCACACAGCTAGTAAGTGTCAAGTGTCTGAGGTCAGATTTGAATTCAGGTCCTCCTGACTCCAATGCTAGGGCTCTATGCACTGTGCCCCCTAGCTGCCCCTTCTCACATATATTTTAAAAATCATATAGGCTTCCCTGAAAGAAGTTAACAATAGTGATAACTTTGACAGCTTTCTGATTAATATTAAGTAAGGCACAAAACAGGTACATGCTTGCCAAAAATGTTTGCCACTTTGATGTAAAGATTAAATCAAGGAAGGATTCAATGTATGGTAAAATTCTCCAGATTTCCTGTCTGCAGATGATATTGTTGATTGTATTAAGATGCAAAGCACCACAGAGTCTCCTCAGTGAGATTCAGAATCTTGCAAAAGCATAAGAAAAACACAGTGGCTGGAGAATACCTGTTATAAAGATTATTATATGTAGTTGGATGGATAGCCCGTAGGTCCATCAGTATGTGTATATATGTATACACACATATGCATATATAAACATATAAATATATATGAATATGTGTATATATATACACACATTATATATACACATATATTTATATACATCTTCTACAGACATTTTGTATGGACAACAATCTGAGTCCAGAATTGAATAAGAGCAAAGTAGAGCAAGCTGGATTAAATTTGGGAAACTGAACAATGCTTTTAATGACCCCAAACTCAAGGAAACTAAAAAAGAATAACTAGTGGTGCCATGAATCATGGGATATGATATCTGAAGAATAAAATTTGAGAGTTACCCAAATGGCGACAGAGGGGACCATGGTGGGCACAAGTAGGGTATGGCATATTGCCAATGAAGAATTGTTAGCTAGGTGGTGCTATGGATAGAGCTGGAGAAGGAAATGACAAACCACGCCAGTATCTTGACTGAGAAGACCTCAAATGGGTTATGAAGAGTCAGACATGACTGAAAATGACTAAACGGCATCAACAATGAAGAATTATGCAGAATAAGTTTCATAAAAGGATATTATTTGATGGATGTAGGACAGATCAAAGGTGGTTATCTTTTATGTAACCAGTGGACAGCCTGCATGCTCTATTT